GCGGAGAGGAGCAGTGCATGTAGTGACATCATGTCAGACTCACATGTAATAAAATACCTAACTTTATCATTATGAATATAAACAACTAACATGGCTGTTAATACTCACTATCAAGCTAGCATATCGATACTGTTAAAGTTTAAAATATATTGAGTTTGATTCGTTAACGAGCTAGTAACATAAAGCAAAGCTAAAAACAGGTTGCATTGATACACGTTTTCCCATTACAATCAGTTACACTGTGATGAAGGTGAATTTTGTGTAAGATTCATAACATATACGCCGTGTTTTGCATGTAATTGTGTCTCTTACTAGTCTCTTACCCTCCTCGAGTCAAACGAGTGCGCGCATGTGGGCAGCGCATGTAGCAGCGGGGGTGTTGCCATGGTTGCGAGAGAGTGACAGTCGCCTAAGCCAATCCTTTGTTTCGTCCCGGAAGGAAATAATGAGCTGTGTTTAGTGCAGATTAAACGGTCTAGAGTCACTCGATTTTTATACTCTTTTTATCAGAGTACTTACATTTTAATTATGCATTGATATATATAGAAAGTTTAAACAAATTTGGGAAAAAGTTTTTTAGACCAAAAACGACCTACCCAACCTTTAAGTGTATTAAAAAAACTGATGGCTGACTGACTCAAAACATTATTTTGGCTATAGCCTTTTTTGTTGCTGTTTTTAGTTTAAAGTAGTCTAAAGCTAAATTTAAAGACTCGGATGTTCTGTCTTTTATTAATTTTATTTTATATTCTACAGGAAAGTTGTATGTCAAGCCCTAAGCTGCTCCCAATAACCAAGCTTCTATGTTAATACATGTTGCTTGCAAATAAATACACAGGTGTCAATTCATTATGCATTGTCTTCTCTTAAATGTAATACTTAATGTACATTGTTGTTAAATATAGTTTAATAAGTAATGCTACATGATAAAAAGAAGTCTTCAATAGACCCTGTAATCGGTGATCGGTATCGGTATCGGGTGATACAGCTTCCAGTAATCGGCGATCGGCCCCAAAAATCCTGATCGGAGCACCCCTATACAATAGTGTTCTCATTATAATGGCATGTATATGACAGTCCCAATTATAGTTATAAATGTGCATTGCTGTTTGAGCTGCGCAACGCTAAAATGATCAAAGATGATCACAGCAAAGATGATCACCAGTACAATGAAGCGCTACTGCTGCATATCGTTCATTAACTCAACCAAACGCATCCTAGATATATATACACAAAATAAACATATTACAACTTACAATGGCGCAGAATGCTGCGAATGCTCAAGAGAACTTGACTGTGCTTGTCATGAAGGCTAAACTCCATAGACGCGCTCTTTCCGCCACAACGCGCTCGTCGCCCTGAAACACTGGCGAACAACAATTCACAACATTCTTTTGCGTGTTTTTATTATATGTTATGAAGCCTATGTGACAGATTTGTGCTGCACATGTTGCACTGAACTGTATCTTCCTTTTCGAAGTTAATCTAATCATTCAGAACCATCATAGCGAACAGCGCGCATCTCTCAACTGAAGTAAATAATCGATCTATCGGCTTTGATATCGGCCCGATAACATCAAAAAATATCATTTATCGGCCGATATCGATATGTGGTCGATATATATCGTGCATCCCTACAAAAAATATATAAAGCAAACAAATGTTTCCGACAGATAAAATTGCAATAGAACTATAAAGAACAATAAGTAACACTTTAGAATAAGGTCGGACCTATTAGTTAACTTTAGTTATTGCATTAACATTATTTAACAACGAGGAACAGCTAAATTTGTTACAGTAGTTATTCTTATTTTGTGTGTTGTTTCTTATATTATTCCAAGATATTTTTAGAAATGTCTCAGTATTTTTCATCCATATAATAGAACTCAGTTGTCATAAAAAAAATATTTTATTGTGTGTTTCAAAGAAGAAAAAAGTAAAAGGTTTGGAATGACATTTTGAGTGAGCTATCCCTTTAAGTATTGGTGGAATATTATGAGAAAAAAAGAAATGTGATATGATATTATTGACACAGTCAGCCCTACTAATAAGTATGACGTTATGAACAGTGGTTATAATGCACTATTAAGCACAACTAAGAAGATGAGAATAAAACATATCCTGAGAAAGAGGTCTATTTGGTGTGTTAGTGACCAAATTAAAATGAGTAAACCTTAATTCCTTATTTACAAAGCGGATTCAGGATACAAATTCAGCATAAGAACAAATAAAAGATTATCATTTACAATGGAATAAGTCCAGGCTCAGAGATCATTCAGTTCAGCGAAAACAAAAAGCACTAATGTCAACTTTGAGAGTCTTCTCTGAGAAGAGTGTTGTTGAAACAAGAACAGAGCTTCCCACAGAGAAAGAAAATCTTTTTTTCTCCAAAACCAAGGTAAACAAGGGATCCAAGCACTGCTGCTCAGTGGAGGGAAAATCGAAAGATTGATTCCACTTGTGAAAATACCAAACTAAAGCTTTCAGGATTTCATCACAATGTTATACTGAAACACATGCAAGTTCCAACTACCTTACTTCCTAGTTCCTAATTAATAATTTCACAAAAACTTTTGTTCTGAATTTGTTGTTGGATTTCCTTAAAATTCTGCATTTCTGAACAAGAAGGGAATAAAACAAACAGCAACAAAATTCAGTGACCAGACACTTCCAGATTTTTCTCAATCTTCAATCTGTCTCCTAAAGCTAATGGGAGCTTCACAGTAAGTTAAATGCACTGAATAGTTATATATAGATGGAGCAGGGGCTGCTGGGACAGAAAGCAGTTTATAATCTTCCTCCTGGCTGTCCTGACAGTGCCTACAGGCAGAGGCTCTCTGGAACTATTAGATAGCAGAGAGATGTCAGTCCACAAGTGCTGTGAAAAACAGAGAGAAACTGAGGACAGGGCAGCGGCAGAGAGGGAAATCCAGTGGAATGAGGCGGTCTTCTTCACACACGCAAATCCATAACACACACATGGAAAGAGCAAATACCTTACTCATCTTCATCCAAGAGGTGACCAGTCAGACACCCACTAAACTCTCCCTCACCTCCTCAATCATGCACAAACACATCATACTGTAATGATCAGCGTTGCACAGCACTATTGGGTATTGCTTCAGCCTGTAGAGTGCAACACCGACCGCCCGCTTTTAAGAATCCACGGTTATGTAAGTACTTGCCCTATTCAATGTCTCCACAGGGACTTAAGAAAAACCAGTTCTGAGATGAATCACAAAATTTCAAATCTAATTGAAAGCAAAAACACTGCAATACACACTGCAACACATGCATACTACAATTTATCACAATTAACCAGCGACATAACAGGTGGTTTCTGAATAAAACTTGTGTAAAACGGAGAGAATAAACTTCAAACGAACCTGGTTCACTTCACTTTTGTTCAATACGCATTTAATAGAATCGTCTCTATTCACACTGAGAAACAACGGCTTTCAGAGTTTGCTTATTTAAACAACCTTTTTCTTAATTAACTAGGCTAACTGTAGGAAATTAAATTAACACAACTTAAAAAAAAAAATATTAAGACACAAAGAATTGATGCAGTTTGAGAACAAAAATCCCAATATTACATTGATTCTGCACAGGCCTAAATGTTAAGTCAAAATCTCAATCTGCACATGAGGTGTGTTCATTTTATGTTGTTGTTAAACACCAATCTCTCTATAGATATAAAGAAAGGGGTTTTCACTTCCAGAAACCTATTGTTTGTTGTGCTCTATTATTGCCTATTATTATATAACTATTGGCTCACATTAACTAGTCACATGACACTCGACTGGTTTTCTGTTTCACTTGCAGGCACATCAGAAAACGCAGAAATATGTTGACAGTTTAACGTGACGAGTCTGTGGCAACAATGCTATAGATCACAATGGACATACTATTGCAACATGCATGCCTGCAAATTACAACAACACCTATTGCATGCAATAACTGCGAGAAAAACCTCCTTGAATTCCGTCATTTTGTTTGATCAAGTGTTTCAAAATTTTGAACTTGCCAACAATGCCTAAACATGCTGTCTAGGCAGGCATCTAACTAAGTTTTGAGAGACAGCCTACATGAACGCATTGCATTCTCTCTGCCAGAGCACGGTGAACTGGACTTTTTGTCATTGGTGCTTGTAAAAGCCTCTCTAGTCAAACACACCACACAGTGGCAATGAACTTTAAACACTGCATTAGTCAGAGAACGACAGCAAGTTGGCTGGAGTGCAGTTTAACTACTCATGTGATGCTTATTTGGTTACTCTGAGGCCTATTTCTCGAAAGAATACAATAGTTCTTGCCCTGTTCAGTTTGTTTAGGTGCAGATAACAGATATAGCTGTAGATAACAGCTGAAAAATCAGAGGACACGTTTGACAGGATGTAACTATAAAGTGCGTTCGACTGTATGTCATATAAAACCGCTAAAATCTATATTTTTTCAATGCTCTATTACAAATATATGTGTTACATACGACCAAAATAAACCAATTCAATCCCTACTAATTGGCTGGATGTATGACTTATTCACACTTCCAACTAAAGTTTCAAGCGTCCTCAGCCGGAAATGCGCTTAAGTGCATACTACTGATTTCATCTATAACACATACATGTCACGCGAGATGGTAAACTTGTTATTTTGGTAGGACACTGACAGCACAGCACATGACGGCTGACCTTAAACCTTCTCTCGTCGCTTTTCTAGCCTGAGTACGTTGGTTTACGTTGAAGCCGTTAATTTGAATGACGGTTGCTCGCCGAGCGCGAGCGGCGACAGCACGCTTTCTGCTAATGTTTAAATCACACCAGCGGGTTTCTAATTATGTTTTAGCTGTGTTTCATGGCATACATTCACACAGAACGTAGTGTGGAATAACATCTAAACAAACGGGGCTTTGTCTGAGCCTCGTAGTGGGTATTTTAGAGCGCTATAAAGCCGGCAAAGGCTTACGGAAAAAAAAGAAAAATGTCTTTTCTTGAAACTTACCAGCGGGTCCTTTTTCTTTTGCATCTTCCGTGAGCTTTCGTCGAGTCTGCCTGACGGCCACTGATGGCGTAATCGCGCTGGGCACGCAAAAGGGGCGTGGCGACGGAAAGAGACTTGGGAACAGTCACGCTAAACAACAACAACTCGATCGCGAGCATAAATCGAAAGTTGCTAAAAACAATGTCCAGGAAAGACAATATGTTGATATAGTGTCATTGATGCGTTCTTAGAAATAAATTATAATCGTATAAAGAGTGACTATTTGCACTAGGAGTAAATGGCCTCTGCCAATATATCTAAGTATAACAAGTAGGCTAACTTACATGACAGCTTCTTTGTCTCTAAATGTTGAATTAATACAATTGTCTCTTTTTTAAATTTTATTTTCACTTAAACAGAAAAACAATAATACAAATAACTGAACCAAAATAAATCAACTAAAGTCCAATAATAATTACAACAATCTGTCTGTTTATGGTTACCTTAAAGTGAATAGCAGTCTATTGTTTGGCTCAGGGTTATGAGCCAAAAATCAATGTTATATATCAATGCCTAATAAATATATATATAAACAATTTTAGGTAGATAATGCGCTATGAACAACACATCGTTTTGGGGATCTGAAAATGACAGTGTAAAGAAGACAAAGAAAAAAAAAATTTGTATATATTTAAAATAGTTTTTGCTGTTCTAATTTGATAAACCAGTCACGACTCTCTCCCTCGGGCCTTTTGGTATGTTGCACACATTGATATCTGTAGTTTAAGAGGTTTTAATAGATTTTAAATAGTTTTTTTGTGAATAATAATAATAATTAACGCATAGTGTTTTGTATGATTGGTCAATAAAGTTATTTTCTAATATCCAAATAACAGTTATCAGTGAATTTAAAATATTATATATATATATATATTTACAAATAAAAAAATACATGAGATATTATGGAAAGTAATTATTATCAAGCAACAGCTTTTTACAAAGTTGTTTCCCCACTGCATTGGTGCTGTATACTATATTAATTTGTATTTATTATACTATGAATACGATTTTATTTTAATTTAGTTTGAGTGATTTTATATTTTGTCAATTTTATGAGGATTTTTTACATTTCTATTTTGTTTTATTTTTTTCAGTTTTAGTAATTTTAGTACTTAACTTATATATTATTATTTCAGTTAGTTGTCAAATCAACTACCAATTTTCTAATTTTCGTTTTTCTTCTAATATTAGGCTATTTTAATTACCTTATTTCAGCTTTATTTCAGTAAACGAAAACAAGTTTTAATAGTAACAGTAACAGCAATGCACGTTTTTGTTTATTAAATTTGTGTTTGTTTTGTTTCAAACTTTTAAATATATGGAATTCATTGATCCCATATCTATTTTCTTCAAACTAAAGTAACGGGTTAAACTGACGGTGATCTCGGCTTCATCCTACCCAGATCTGCAGCGCCGCACAGTGGAGATTTGAATAAGTGAGTATTTCTAGTTACCAATGACAACTGTTCAAACAAACTTCCCTGTACTGAAAACAAACTTAGTTTCAAACAGAAATCCGCTTCTAGCTTAAAAAACAAACCCAAATAGGTCAGCAAATAGGTTAAATGTGTTGCTTTTCTAAATATGGTGTTCTTGGGAATTAGGAGAGGTTGAGTTTTACATTGTTTGTTGCTAATTTTCTGTATTCTAGACATGATCATCTTCAGAACCGAATAAACTCGTGTTTTTGGAAACATGAGCTCACCGCTGTCCACCCTGAGGAAGAACAAACGAGCTCCTCTACCAGAGATACAGAGTGATGATGATGATGGGTAAGTGATGACAAAATGCACTTGGCCTATAGTGAATGTTAAATACTGACAAATACTAAATCATAAGCACGTGTATATTTTATGAAAAGCTGTTAAACACTGACACTAGAAAACATGAAAATATTTTTTAGGAAATCCAACTAATTTAAACTAGACATTTTTATCTGAATATCACACATTTTTGTCTGTTTATGTTTGGAGCGATTCCAAATAATGTATTGTATTGTCATATGCAAATTATTTGTTATAATCTACATTTGTTGTAGTGCACCCTGCTTTTCTCTGTAATAACCCAAAAATTATTCATAACTTACATTATTTGCTAGTTTTCACGTGAAAATTAAGATTTATATAATATAATATAAGTTTTAGTGCACCTGGCTTCTTTTCTCTGTAATAACCCAAAAAAATATTTATAACTAACATTATCTTCTAGTTTTCAAGTATATTGTGGTCCAGACTAATATAATAACATATTATCTCACATATTATCTTATATCTTTAAAAAGAAATATATATATATATATATATATATATATATATATATATATATATATGATTGTGTTGACATTTAAGGAAGTATTTCGATAAAAGGCTACTGTAGACTTTTAAAGAATAGGAACCTAACATAAGCGAAGTTATTTTAAAATGGTCTTTTGATAAAAAATTATTCTGTAATTTTATGAGGAGGATGGGATGTTTTAAATTCGTTGCGAATACATTTTCCACAAAAAAAACAACAACACATTGCTACCTGTACAGTATATCCAATACATGATGTATTTGTATTATAATCTTTATATATTTCCCTCTCTCTCACACACACACACACACATATATATATATATATATATATATATATATGACCATTTTAAATGAACTTCGATTGGACAGTTATGTTAGGTTCCTGTTCTTTGAAAGTCTGCTGTAGCCTTTTATTGAAAGACGTTATTAAATGTCAACACAATCATATTGCTTTTTTAAAGTTATTATGCTCAAAGCTACTGCATTACAAGAATGACCCAGACAATCTTTGAAATAATCAGATGTCGTATCTGTTTTTGTGATCTAGGGAAAGAAAGCCTTACAAAGAAAGGTCAGACACTGGTAAGACTTATAGACATTTAACAGTTTCCCCATCTCTCCTAACAAGCAAATGAAATGCCAAGAGTCAAGAGTTTGAACTGCTTTTCTAATGCCATGCTTTACAGATTATATAAATGGCAGGTTTCAGTCTATGCCAGTTTCTGAATATAAAAACATATGGGAAATAAAATAAGAATATACAATATACAAAATGCAAAGAACACAATACATCAATACAAGAAATGAACCATCTGATCATCTAAAATCACTTACATGTATCAATTTTTATGTTTCAGACTACAAAGCTAAATTATTCCGAAACATTTTCCCACAAAACCAGCCAGTGCCTCACATCATGAACAATCGTTCCACTGTAAGATCAAAGGTCATGCAAAAGAAGGCGGCAAAAGAAGGTACCACTGAATCGACCAAATAAAGTAGATGCGTCTTCATCACAACTTTAAATATGGTGTCTTTTAAATGTTCTCTAAATGTCACAGCTCCGCCGAGTGATTTTGAACTGATGTCAAGTATGATGCAGAAGATCAGTCAGCTTGAGAGAAAGGTGAAAACTCAAACTGTGGATGTAGAGCATAAGGTAAGACACTTGCTTTATTGTTACGGTCTCACTGTCCTACAAACTCAACACCTAAATCTGCTTTGCTGTACATTTTAAGTGTCCAAGTTTGTGTTTGTAATCATCAGTGTTATGTCAGATGTCTCTGTTAGCACAAGTGATATAATTTTTCATGTTGTATCAGCACTTCTTTTCCTTACACTTCCTGCTCAAGGCAAGACGAATAGCAGTTCTGGAAGAGAAACTGGATCTTTTGCAAAAGGCAAAAGGTAATCATTATGTGTTAAACAAACTTGCAGCAAGCTCAAGTTAGCAAGATAGAAATAAAATCAATAATATCAAATTACAATAAGAACCCATAAAGAAAACACATTATTACTAGATTTAAATACCTTTTAAATCCCCCAACTCACCTTACAGTAATGAGAAAAATATAATCATATATTTAAAATTACGATTTATATAATATAATATAAATTTCAAGCATTTATTACTGTAATCTATGATGTTTTTAATAATATAAAATAAATGTAAGTATTTATTGTAATGTTTTATTGTAATTTATTGTAATGTTTAATTTTAAAAATATATATATATGTGTATCCATCCATGTATGATTCTCATCATTGTTTTACTATTTTTGTTATAAGAATCAAATAAGATGTCAAACATCTGGACATATTACAGCTGAATAGATGATCTGGGGTTAACATTAAAGTACTAGTTTTTGCTATTACTTTTAACCAGTTTACCAGTCATATAAAAGCTTGTCTAAACAAACGTGTTTGTCTTTGGCTTTAGAGAAATCTGCAAGTAATGAGAACCAAGATGAAGAATTGGTTCAACTGTGCCTCAAGCTTCAAAACCAAGTGTTGGAAATGGAGGTGAGGAGCTTTGTGTGATTGTTGTGAGGTTTATAATGACGTTTCCTTCAACCTGTTACTAATGTATGTTATGCTAGGCAGAAAACAATACACAGGTTATTCCTGTATAATAGCAACAAAATAGTTTTTAGCAACTCAACACAATGCCATTTTTCCGCCCACACAGAAGTTTCTGAATGATTATGGAATGATCTGGATCGGAGGTTATGACGAGCAAGCTAACAGCCAACTTCCAGCAGTAACTTGCATACGCAAGAGTTTTAAAATGAACTATGACCTGGTCATGCAGAACATCCAAGAACTGAACATTGTAGCTGGGGAAGGGGAGTCCCATGTGACCGCCATTCCTGGTGGGGCCAAACTTACCCAGAAGTCTTCAATACCTCTTTGGCTCTACAAAAACGGCATTGTCATGTTCAATGGTCCATTACGCTGCTATCAAGAGCCAACCGCACAGGTTCAGTAGTTTTCCACTTACAGTACATCACTAAATTTGACTAAAGAAATACTGTACGTTTCCTACAGCCAGCTTCGGATTACTTTAGATGAATAATCAAATTGAGTGTTCCTTGTAAGATTTACCTTCTTGTTGCAGGAATGCATGCAGGACTTGATGGATGGGTTTTTTCCTTCTGAGCTTCAGGAAAGGTTTCCTAATGGTGTGCCCTTAGAGGTGTGTACTGGGAATTTATGCAGTTATCAACATTAGTATCAGTATTTTGGGTCTGTAAGATTGTTTTTGAAAGTCTATTATGCTCACCAAGGCTGCATTTATTTTATTAACTCAAAAAATACAGTAAAATGTAATTTAAAAGAACGTTTTTTGTTATTTTGATATCATTTTGAAATGTTATTTATTCTTGTGATGACAAAGCTGAATTTTCAGCATCATTACTCCAGTCTAAAAGGGATATTTCACCATAGGCATCATTTACGGGTGGGACATGTCCCCACCACTTTTTGCCAGGGTCGATATTGTCCCCACCACTTTTGAAACATCTCGCGGCACGGATGTACCAATACAAATAAAACATCTCCAGTTAACTAGCAGCATTCGTTTCATTAATTTGTATTAATGTATTTATTCACGTAAAAATTCACGATACTAACAACATATATTAGATCTCATTGTACGACCAATTAAACCCAAAGTACCATCACATTTTTGGTCGGACATCATCACATCTTTGTATACATTTTTATTTATTTACATCAGTAAGCTGGACATCGTCTTTCAAAACATGACCTGCGCGAAAGAGAAAAAAGAATGAATGCGTCATTGTACCCAGCACTTTTGAAAATGCCCTTCCGAATGCGTCTCTGTCCCCAGCACATTTCAAACCAAACTGACATCCATGTATTTCACTTCATCACTTACTCACCCTCATGTTGTTCCAAACCTGTATGAGTTCCTTTCTTCTGTTGAACACAAAAGAAGATATTTTTAAAGAATGCTGATAATCAGGACATAATACTATGGAGGTCAATGGCTACCGTCAATTGTTTACCAACATTCTTCAAAATATCTTCAAAAAGTCGTTTGGAACAACTTGGGTGAGTAGATGACAAAATATTCATTTTTGGGTGAACTATCCCTTTAAGTGTTACATGATCCAAGTGTACAGTAGACATTCATTTTACCTTTTACCAAATCTTGTGACCTGTTGAGAAGTATGTGTAAAATCCCATAGACTTGAATTAATGGAAGGACCCTATATTTATTAGCTATAATGTTCTTGAACCACACAAACAGGTCCATGACAAACGGGACGAGGAGTTCGTAGTTAGGCGACCATGGACTGAGTTTCCTGGAAGAGGACAAACTATAGATGGAGCAAGAGGGCAGTCGGTGGACAGATCTGAGCAGACCATCTCCACAGCGCCAAAACAGAGTCAGATACCAGGTTTGAACCTGTTATTGGTATGACTTGCAATGTACCGCTACTGTTCTTTACATCTTGGATTTGAATCCATCTTCTGTGGCATTCAGGCAAAAAACTGTCTATGGAGCAGTTTCTGCAAAAGCTCCCAGAGACTGTAGTGAAGGCAGGCAAAGTGATTAGTATACGGGACTCAGTGAAGGCTCATCTACAGGTCAGTATAGTCATGTTTCAGTCTGTTCTGTTTAGGGTCGTTCAATTACATTTCCCATTGAACTGACTTTTTGTTTTGTTAAGGGCTTCCCTGATGGTGCCAAGAGTTATTCAACAACCACTGTGGAAACATCCGCCCTGCGGGCTTTGAGAGAACGGTATCAAAAACCTTATCTTTAAGTCATGACCAAACTGAAGAGCTTTGATAGATAGCATAAAAGTTGATTAGAGTTGCTGACTTGAATAATTCACTTTTCCAATCCATGTGGTGTGATTCAGTGAGATAGATTTAACACCATCTTCAAAAGACGTCACCACACTGCGAGTGAAGTCTGAGGATGGTATGGAGACATTTATCATGAAAATGTACTTCACTGAGACTTTTGGAGATCTCCGTCATTACCTGGACAGGAAAAGGTTTGAGATACTATTAGCATTTTCAATGGTCATAAATATGCTTGAGATGTACGCAACTTGATTATATTGATTTTAATTAACGTTAATTAACATTTAAGTCACAATGAAATTAAACTTGACAATTCTTATTTTCTTAAATTAATATTGCTGTTTATTATAAATGATTTATCCGTGCATTTCATTTTTTTTTATTTTTTATTCAAGTGTCCTCAATCTTTTCTGATGGCTTGTTTACTGACACGAGGACGGGACAACCTGTCATTTTGAGATCACAACAATAACAAACCACAATTATCTAACGATCCAATCAATTCCTGAAGGACAAAGTCTTATCTTGCCCTAAATTTTTTCTTGTTCGAGAAGCCATTTCACTTGAATATGCGGCATAATATGAAAGACCATCACGACTTCCGTTTATTGCTGACTTTAAGGCCAAATTTTGGGATAGTTCACCCAAAGATGAAAAATCTGTCATCATTTACTCACCCTCAAGTTGTTGCAAACCTGTATGAATTAATTTTTTCTCCTGAACACAAAAGATGATATTTTGAATCAAACATAATCAAACAGTTGACGGGACCTCATTTACTTCCATAGTATTTTTTTTTTCTCCATACTATGGAAGTCAAAAAGGCCCATTAACTGTTTGGTTAGCCATATTGTTTAAAATATATTTTATGTTCAGCAGAAGAAAGAAATTGAAATTTTTGGGTGAACTATCCCTTTAAGGCAGCATTCTGTATATTCTTTCCAAAATGCACTGTATCTTGTAGATCAGGAGAAATACAGCAAGAAATACTTGTAATCCGTTCAATACTGAAACGTAACAACAAAAAATGCATACAATAATTAAAAACCCACAATGCATGTATGCTTGCAGTCTATAATTATAAGCAGAATTACTGCAGAAGTTTTCATACTTTTTTAGACAATAATTTGAGCCAATCTATTTTGACAGAGGACCGGGTGCTGCGGCCTATGACATCATTAGCGCATTTCCACAGCGGTGCTACAGTGATGACACCCAGACGCTTCTGTCCTGTGGTCTGACTCCAAATGCAGCGCTGCTCCTGCGTCCACAAGCTGCATCTCACAGACAGAACAACGCTTAACTAAAACTGAACAACCATTCTCACGTGATGTTAAATAACGAGCAAGCATCATCATTAACACACTTTCACAGCATTGCTGACATGACTCACTGATCATGCATCAACAAGAATGTTTTAGAAATTGATAAATCAATAATGAAATGTCCAAACACATCAAAAAATAGAACAATCAATTTGATTAAATTATAAATAAAAAACAACTCAAATTACAATATTTAAAGGGATAGTTCACCAAAAAAATTTAATTAGCCCATGATTTACTCACCCTCAAGTCATCCTAGGTGTATATGACATTATTCTTTCAGACGAATACATTCGGAGTTGTATATATATATAAACAAAACAAAAAAAGGTCATTATAAAGCTTGGAAGAGCCAGGACATTTTTTAATATAACTCCGATTATATTCGTCTGAAAGAAAAATGTCATATACACCTAGGATGACTTAAGGGTGAGTAAATCATGGGCTAATTAAAAATTTTGGGTAAACTATCCCTTTAAGTTATGATAAAATGGAAAACTTTATTTTTCTGTTATCTGTAAATGAACCAGGATGTGACAATATGCTGTCGAAGTGGTTTACGATTTGTTAAACTTTAAAATTGTAAATCTTTCAACTGTTGAACATATGGCACTATTTGTATAAATTTCCAGGCAAATATTTTAACTTATAAATTGTCTTTGTGAGGTCAGTTACACTGAAACATCCGGCTAATTAACGGGTTTGGCTGTTTGAGCTACTCCCGGGGTTTTTTTTGTAGAATGCTACTACTTTTCTGTTTTAATGAAAATGGAAATTTTATCATTCCTATATTACCAAATTATAATTAACTATTAGAAGTTCTAATAATTTCTATATTAGCAAAAGAGAACATGGGCAAGCAAGACGAGAGTGGACCAGGCCTGGACCATTTATGTTCTGTTTTATTATGTTTATATGCGGCAGCCGTCCATGAGGGGCTGCCGTTTTACTTTCATTTTGTAGTGTCGATCTTTTTTGATATTAAGTTTATGTTGAACGTTCGCCGGTTCCCGCCTCCTCCTTTCCTGAGCCTTTAAACCTCGCTGCCTACAATAATATTATATGATAGATGACACTGCTCAGATACTCAAGATTAGGACACATACACAGAATATCATTATACATACTGGAAACAAACATTTCAACAATGTTACATATGAAATACAAATCTTTATTTCTAAAAACGGAAACAATTCAGATTTATATATATATATATATATATATATATATATATATATATATATATATATATATATTATAAACAGAGACATTTAGTGTGTTGTTATAAAGTTTTTGGCATATAAAGCTTGCCTGGCTGGTTTTGTATTAAGATCTTACAACAGAAAACACATCTGCTGCATCATCTAATTACATTCACACTTGTTAATGATGTTTCTGGACCAAAGACAACTATTTACCATGCAATACTTCCCACAATTTATGGTCCCTTTTTGTAAAAGAATCCTAATACCTTGGCAGTCGCACATTACAGTAGAGAAATACGGTTAGTGTCTACATTGATATATTGTGCTGTAAAACCTCAGTAAATACAGATTACGACACTGAACGCAAGGCACCTGTTACCATGTTTGACATTCATTAATACAATATTTGCTTCACCAGTTCATTTTCTCTGATGTATTGATTCAATGGCGTGGCTATTATTATAGCTGACTAAACAAATTATAAACCAGACAGTAAATATGGATTAAAGTTTAGTAGATCATATATCCTTTTATTTTACTGGCAAGATGGTCCTGCCCCTCAACACACATACATAAGCAAATGTTACCCGTTTAAATTATATGACCAAGAAAATATATATTCTAAAATGTTTTTTGTCTGTGTTAATTTTGCAGCTGTAAAGAACCTAATAATGCATTGAGGTTTTCAGGACAACTTTGAAAATAATGATTATTTAAGAGATCAACTTAACATAAAAATTTTGCAAACAATGTTCATGCTCTATGTATCTTAAGGAAGAGAACTTTAGAACTTTTTTTTTATTTAACAGAGAACCAGAATTTAATATTATGCCTACAAACCTGTCTTGCTTTAAAATGTCCCCATTTATTGGTCTGCATAATGCTCTGTACATCTAGACTCTGAAACGGTTCTGACAGGTTTGCCTTTGATCATATTGAACTTTGTTTGTTATATAATATTAGGGAATGTCTATCCACCACCTTAACACCTGTGATCTCAAACAGCCAGAGGTGGCCAAATATTTCCATAGCCTTAGATTTGTGTTTGATGCGGCACGTTGTGTTTACTGTAAGATTATGGATGCTAGTTAATGACCTGTCGTTACACGCAACCGAGCATCACGCGAAACTACAGGTTAGAGATTAGATATTTCCAGTTGATTGTCAACTTCATCACAGGCGTTCCCAAATACATGGAAAGGTTTATATTAAATCATTCTCTTTCCACCGCACACAAAGTCATCAGAATCTTAGAAAAATATCTTATGAAACCTTTGTATAAAAATAGCACTCTGTTTTGCGAGATTACAATGTCCTTAGTGTCGTTAGTCCTTCGTGAAGAAGATTTGTTTAGGTAGAGATTGTAGTGTCTTTAAAGGCACTCGTGATGTGGAGTTACCCTCATTGAGCACAAGCCGTGCTGTCCGAGCTCACTGAGTGATGCAGTTTTCTCCCATATCCTGAGCATAGTGGTCAGAGACTGTGGTTCTCAGTTCCTCGACGTCTCGACGGAGTTGCTGAGCTTCAAGCAGCTTCTTCTGCAGCCCCTCGGGGCTCAACCAGTCCTCCCACTGCTCTCCTACTGGAGGGGGAGCTGCTGCAAACAGACAGACATGGAGTCAGAGTCACAGCTGATAACGGCCACAACACAGATAACACAACAAAGCTGAATCTCCATGACTGCATGATGAAAACTGTTGAACCCTAATCACTACCACTACTACAAAACAACAGCCAAGGAGGCATGGGCGAAATATTAAGTATTTGCAATGACTCTGTATGAGTGTGTTGGTAATTTTGATCAGTTTCTGCTCTAAGTGTCTTTTTCAATTACCATAATAGTTTTGAATATTCATTGGTGTCATCACTTATAGAAGGATCTGCATGTCATTTGTAATATATTAACCCTCTGGGGTTCTTCGGACCAAATGGACCCGAAGAATTTAAATAAAAAAAATGTGTAAAATCATAGCTTCATCGGAATGGTCCGAAATTTGGTGACTTTGTTGGTACTTGGTATATGAACACCCAAAAAAATTGGGGACAGGATTTGAATAGTCTAAGTGGTTGTAAAAAAAATGGTCACACTCAGGGTCTTCGGGTCCAAATGGACCCGCCATAGGAAATGAATGGGAAATTGACAAAAATGTGACAATACAGAGTTGTTTTGTGCGTACAATCAACAAATCAGCCACGATCCAGAAAAAAAGCACACAACAGTGAAGGGGTGAATCTATAAAACATCAAGAGTGCAAAACAGACACATCCACACACACACACTTTTATACACAAACACACTAATAAATTCAGATTACATAAATATGTTTTGAATTTTTAAAAATCACAGCTTCATCGGAATGTTACGAAACTAGGTGACTTTTATGGTATTAGGTATGTGAACAAACAAAAAATATTGAGGTCATGACCCCCATAGGAAATGAATGGGAAATTGTCAGAGTTTTTTTTTTTTGCATACAATCTACAAATCAGCCAGGATGCAGAAAAAAGGACTCAACAGTGAAGGGGTGAATCTCTAAAACATCAAGAGTGCAAAACAGACACACACGCATACACACACACACTGTATTATATATTTATAATAATCTGTATTATAAAGTAAAACTGGCACTTCAAATTATCATTTAAACCAAACAAACAAACTGAAAAAAATTGTCAAAGATGTGCAAAACTCACAAGAATTCTGAACCCTTTCTACAGAGAGCTGTAAATCCACTAGTGGTAAAAATGTGCTATTGCGTGATAAAAATGCTCAGTGTGTCCAGCAGATGGCATCCATCTCATTTCAAAAATTGTTTTCATGAGGCCTAGGCTTGACTCTAAAATGAAATACAGCTTTAAAAAAAAAAAAAAAAAAAAAAAAACATTTAAAAAAAAATTATATTATATTCAATGGGAAAAAATGGGTCATAATTATTGCATAAATATTAATTATAAATCATAAAATTTTCTCAAAACACCAAAAAATAAAAGAAAAAAATTATAAAAAACAAGTAAAAAAAATATATATATGATTTTCTTTTAATAAATATGAATCAAACCCTTCCGGACCATTTGGTCCCGAAGACCCTGAGTGTGACCCTGAAATGAAGGACCCCAGAGGGTTAAAATGTTCTGGTGAAAATGTGTTTATTTCACGTATACAACATGTATAGCATATATAAAAAATGAAACAGCATATAAATTCTATAAAAATGCTCATTTAAATAGTAAAAAGTAACTAAATTAAATTAAATGAAAATTTCAATTTATCAACTTAAATTAAAGTAAAATATTTCATTTTATTATTTTTTCAATCAATTATTTAAAAATTATTTTAATTCCTTGATTATTTAGATTATTCAGATGATTATTTGATTATTTAGATTATTAAATGTTACTGTTTTAAAGGGGTGGTTGATTATGATTTCACTTTTCTAACTTTAGTTAGTGTGTAATGTTGCTGTTAGAGCATAAACAACATCTGCAAAGTAACAACACTCAATGTTCAAAGCAAAGGGAGATATTTTCTTTTAAAGAAATAACTTTTTATGGACTACAACAAACGGCTGGTAGGGACTACACAACACCCCTCTCGGGTTAGTGACATCACAAACCCTAAAACTTACATAAACCCCGCCCCAGGAACACGATTTATAGATTATCAAGACAGAATATGCTAATCAATGACTAGAAAATAACTACACAAGCTACATAAATTCATCAACTAACCATTCAGAAATGTTATCTACATGTTGTCACTTCTTGAGTCTCTCTATCCTTGTCTGACTCTGGTTTGAACATAAAAAGGCTAAAAGTTTTTGAAATTTTCAGTGCATGTCTGTGCGAGTGGAAGCTGTTGAACCTCCGTCCTCTGTGCCGGGAGCAGCAGCTCATTTTCATTTAAAGGGACACACAAAAACGGTGCGTTTTTGCTCGCCCTCAAAAAGTGAGAATTTTAACATGCCATATTAAAATGTCTGTGGGGTATTTTGAGCTAAAACTTCACATACAAACTCTGGCGATATTATTTTACATCTTGTGAAAAGGGCAATATACCACCCCTTTAACGCTTGCATTAAACATTTCAATCTTTAAAGCTACACTATATAACTTTTTTTAAACTCCAAACTAAGTCTTAACCCAATTACACTTTGATAAACCTATAATAATGATTTATATTTTCGAGCTGTCTGGATGGATTTCACTCATAATTGCATACATGTGTCATTCCCACATGCATCACATCACTTCCATACAAAGTGAAAAGTAGCTCCAGCTACTGTGGTGCTTTTATGGTGTGCAAGTGTGAAAGCTGAAAGTTTGACGGACTAAAAAAAAAGGACCATAAATCATTTAAAAACAAAAAAAAAACATTTTTTACTACACTTATAAGATGTCCTGTATCCATGTGTACACCTGTGCTTCGAACCACATTCATCCGCACAGAGGAGCAGACAGAGCAAAAGCAAAAGGATGTTGTTCCGCAAGGCACATGCAGTTTTATTTTTAACCGCTAGAGGGACAAATGTTACATTGTGTAGCTTCAACATTAACCATAATGGCTGTTTTGTTGAATTGAAAATAGATTGTTGAACAAAGAAACAAAAACTCATAAGCCATTGTAAAGCAAATATAGAGATATAAAAATGGATTATTTCATTAAAAAAAAGGATTATAATGCAGGTGTATATAGTCAATTATAATTAGGCATTATCTGATGGAGTCCTAGTCTTCTCTATAGCATAAATACTAGGGATGGCCCGATACCATTTTTTTTCAAACCGATACGAGTACGAGTATTTACATTTGTGTACTTGCCGATACCGAGTACCGATACCGATATTTCTACCGCAAAAGTAATAGGCTCCCAGAAAAGAAGACGACTATTTTAGAACACAGGTTAGAAGACTGTTTTTATTTTCTTCTCTGCTTGTTTTAACAAGTCTAAAAATAAATAAAAATTAGTAAAATAATAAATGTATTAACACACAAACCACTGTTAATTTAACATAAAAGCAAGCAGGCTACTGCGTGCATGGTCTGGCATGACTGAATGCGCGCTCCCTTAATAAATCCTAAAAGCTGACAGTTCATCGCGATCTCACACATCTCTGTTATTATCAATGAAGCTGACTGCACAATCAATCTTTCATAATATCCACACTTTGTTTGTTATAATTAGAGGATGTACCAGCATACAGAATTCAGCACTGAACAAAAAAGTCCGTTTTGAGCGGTGAGGGGAGTCTATCTTAAATGCTTCTGATTGGCCATTGCGTTCAATAAATCAACACATATGTCTGTGATTGGCTACATCGCTCAACGCTGTAACCATGTTATGAATAGAAACTCTGGCCTGTAAATCGTTTCTATTTTGTTGTAGTTGTTCTTGTTGCTTTTCTGCAAGAGATGAATAAAAATCTTTTAGTTTTTATGTTTTATTTATAGATATTTCTAGTTTGCGGGAGTCCCGCGAATCGTTTTATTCTCCCGTAAACCGCACACACAGAGTGAGTGCATTACCGCCCGCGTGCGCGCTCGGCCATCAGATCTATGATGCGTCTTCAGATGTTTAATTAGATTGCTGGTGTTAAACGATGTACTTTCTTTCCCTCCTCTCGACACCTTAGCTGAACATAACTCACAGTCTGCCTTGCTGTTGTCATCATCCCTTATCTTGAAATGAGCCCAAACCGCCGACATTATACTTTCCTATGCCTCAGTTCACCTCGACAAAGCACTCGCGGCGGCCAGTTTCGTTTTGCAAAATGTACGTGGTATCGGTGCGTGGTATCGGCGAATTTTTATGAGTACGAGTACGAGTATATTAGGACAGTATCGGCCCGATCCCCGATGCCAGTATCGGTATCAGGCCATCCCTAATGAATAGGGATGGGACGGTATGAAAATTTCATATCACGATTATAGTGACCAAAGTTATCACGATTATCAATATTATCACGGTTTTGTTAAAATGAGATGGAAATGTTCAAAAAGAACTGATGCTCACCCTGAAAACATTTGAAAATCAACAAACAAAAAATACAATTAGCAGTAATATGCACTTTTTTAAGCATCAACATTATATTAACATTAACATGGAGCCCTGAGAGTGAGAGGTATAAGTTTTCCTAGTGCAGGTTTTAATGAACCCGTCATTAAACCCTATCATTAATAATGATAATAACACTTATGGATGTGTGTGACTGAATATTATTATTATTAATAAATAATAAATCACTTTCTCTCTCTCACACACACACACACACACACACACACACACACACACACACACACACACGCACGCACGCACGCACGCACGCACGCACGCACACACACTTTAAATGAACAAAATATGTTGGTTGGGTCAGGGTGACTAAACTACTGGCATACTTATAATGACTGTTGTAAATAGCAACGCACTACACAGCGCACATCCATGTCTTGGATCACCGTGGACGCAATCTCTGGTTTCATTCAAATGTGTAGGCCTATTGCGTCTCAGCTTTGATTGTATTGAAAATTAAATCAGAGTAATTTAGTATTAATACTACTACAATATTGTTGTAGTGATCACATTTACTTTACGATTGATTTGGACACTGTAACTTGAATAATGGATTTATAAACCGGTAAGATTTAAAAACATTAAGTTAATCACAATTCAATATTTCATGTCCCTGAAATTATTTCCGTGGTAAAAAATAAAAAATAAAACTGTAATAAGTTTACTATGAATGAATACAATACATTATCCCTTAAATGTCACCCTTAATAGTTTGAATATGTTCGTTCGTCTTGGCTCAAATCCACTTGCTGTAAAACTTTTCTCTTCGCGGAAGCTTTGCAATAATTACAAGTGAGATAATGAAATAATTCATCTCCAATAAATTTGTCTAATTATTTGCCCAAGTTAGTTGTGGTATTAAGGTAAAAATTAACTCAGTGGGTGGTTGTCACGTAACGTTAGATGACTTAGCAGATTTGACGTGTTTCCCCCTTTTGCAGCGACTTTCCTCTTGCAAGATTTGCAGACTGGGTGCCCATCCTCGATTAAATTGCCCTCGGGACTCTTGTAATAGCCAAAATACGACCATACCTCCGATTTTGTCCTCTTGGATGGCTGAAAAATCTCCCGTGCGCTGTCACTGCCTTCCGCCATGTCTTCTCGCGCAAAAAAACAACATTGCATCTGCGCGCCTGCTCTCGCTTGCGTCAGACTGATTCTGGCTGGACAGGATTTACCACGAGTTTTCAAAATCACGATAATCAAACACGGTTTTTATGATAATTAAATTTTAAACGATAATACTAACCGCCAGGACATTTTATCGTGGTTTATCGTGAAACCGGTAATCGTCCCATCCCTACTAATGAATACAGCAGAGGGCGCACTTACATGCAATGCCGAGCAGCATGGAGAGGTTTGGGTCGTGGCCCTGAGCCCGCTGGGTGAGGACGTTGCAGAGGGAGCGGAGGTCACACAGACAGGCGGCCATCTCTCCATACAGCCTCTGGGTGAGCCGGGCTCCCACGGGGAGCAAACCACGGCCACTCGGCGGCTCCTCACCCTGAAGACGCTCTTGCAGTGTCAGATTGTGTTCCATCAGCTCCTGGTTCTGCACTGAAAGCTGAAATACAAACACATGCAGACCTCAATTCTCCTGTGAAAACACAAAGGCAAAGAGCTGAATATGCATTATGGTCAACAACTAACCTCCTTCATAGCAGTGCGTAACTGCAGCAGACTCTCCTCTTTCTCTGCCACCTCCTCTCGCAGGGCCTGACTACTGCAGTCCTCCTGAGAGAGCTGCTCCTCCAGAGTCTAAGTCAACACACACACACATTATTAAGGTTGTAAACTAAAAATTTGGTTAATATAAACTAAACTGCGACTGCTTTTGGTGCAAGATAGTTTGACTAACATTGTAAATGGATATGGGTTAGAAAATGCTCTAAAAGTGTCAAATATATAGACTTCAGACTTTACTTTCTATCGTAAAAAAAATATATATATTTCTAAAGAAGCCTTCTACTTTGCGGAAGGTGTTTGTAAAGATTCCTGACCTCAGTTACTATTGTAAGTACATTGCTGAGGACTTAATATAATATGATGCCTGGCTCTTAGTGATGGGGATTTACTTAAATTACAGCTAATTACAGTCTTCAAGTTGAAATTCAAAAGACCAATTCTTATTCAGAACCAGTTCCATTTTCTTTTTTTTTCTTTTTTTAATACTGGAACAGAAAGACGGTAGTTTTCCTTTAACGGTTCTTGAATATCATTTTTCCACCTGTACTACCATTTCAAAGATTTGGGGTCAGCCAGTTTGTTTGTTTTTTAAGAAATTACTACTTTTATTCAGGATGGATGCATTGAATTTATCAAAAGTGACAATGAAAGACATTTATAAATGTTATAAAAGATTTCTATTTGAAACAAAAAAAAAATCTTTTAAACTTCCTATCAAAGAATCCTGGGGAGGATCAATTTTCACAAAAATACTAAGCAGCAGAACATTCAAAATTGATAAGAAATGTTTCTTGAGCACCAAATTAGCATATTAGAATGATTTCTGAAGGATCATGTGACACTGAAGACTGGAGTAATGGCCCAAATTCAGAAAGGAATAAATTACATTTTAAATACATCAAAATAGAAAACACTTATTTTGAGGTGTGATAATATTTTACAATATTACTTTTTAACTGTATTGTTTTCAAATAAGTGAAGCAGGGTGAGCAAAAGAGTCTTCTTTCAAAAAAATTAAGAAATCCTAGTACCAACCCCAAACTTTGAAATGGTAGTGTATGCAGACAGAACGCTGTAATAAAACACTACGAACAGCGTTTCTTGAACCAGTAATCAGCAGCAGTGCCAATTATGCACCTGTTAAACAAAATAAAACTTTACCCTGATCTTTGATCCCAGCTGCTCCATTATCCGGAGTTGTTTTTCAATGACCTAAAAAGAAAAATGAATCAAGATAGTAACTTAATAATATATTTGTACAGAACATACATTCGCATTAATCACCAGACAGAGCCATGATTCAGCACTACTAACAAACCTCTTTTAAGTGTTACTGCAGTTGTTTAACAAGTCCTTTAAGAAACTAATGTGAATAAAAACCTTTTTGAGTCGCTGCTGCTCATCTTTAAAGGTAGTGTTTTCTTCTCGTAGCTTCTCTATGTCAAGAGAGGGCAATCTCACTCCATCCTCAAGGCTCTCCTGCACTCTATTCTGGAGACTAAAACCACAAGCAAATCAAACAACATTAGACATTAGCATAGCAATGCTCCAAAACCTTATCAGTAGACTCCTGGTTTTGAAACATCCATTGTGTCTTTTGTACATGGTTTTTCCTACCTGGTGACTGTTGCAAGTAGTTCTCTCTCCTTGCATCTCTGTTCTTCCAGTTGTGTCTCTTTGTTGCGCACAGCACTGCAGGCCCCCTCCAGTTGGACTTCTAGATCTCTGACAGTGGCCTGCAACTGAGCTGCCCTCTCCTCTACCTCCTCTAGCTGAAACACAACATTCATAACTGCACTGTAACCAACTGAGAACAACAGTTGCTCAAAATAGTGGTCAAATGATATGGGTCTTTCAATAGCCAATGCCAATATCAATATCTAAAGACTCAGGTGATAAATGAGCAATATAATATACAACATAAATACACTACCATTCAAAAGTTTGGGGTCTGTATGAATTTTTAATGTTTCGTTGAAAGTAGCCTCTTATGCTCACTAATGCTGCATTTATTTGATTAAAAATACAGTTTAAAAAAAGTAATGTGAAATATTGCCATTTAGAATAACAGTTTTCTATTTAAAATCTCATTATTCCTGTGATGGCAAAGCTGAATTTACAGAATCATTACGCCAGTCTTCAGTCAGTGATGATTTTTTTGCAGGATTCTTTGATTAAGAATTTCAAAAGGAAAACATTTATTTGAAATAAATTAGAAACATTTAACATTATAAATGTATTTACTGTCACTCTGATCAAAATGGATGCGCTCTTTCTGAAAAACAAAATAATATATTACAGACCCCAAACCTTTGAATGGTATTGTAAAAAAAAAAAGAAGTACAATACCAAATGAACTGACCTCCACACGTTCTATGTGAGATTCTGAAACTAGATGACACTCACTAAAATAAAATCTCATCCTTGCCATCTAATGCAAACAACATAAATTCATTTATTTGTTCTAAGGCTATTTTAAAATGGCAAGAACAGGGTATAATCAGCTAAAAATCACTATTAGTTATAGTTAGTTATTAGTTATAACACTAGTTAATACAAATATTTAAAAAGGCATAGACAAACATGTTAAATAATTTACAAAAAAATAAAATCTAAGATGTTTTGGTGCATTTGACATAAAAAAAAATACTTTAGCAAACAAAGCACAATCAAAAACAATGACTTGCAGAAAAAGCAGAGTGGGGCTGGGATTTTGTGAGCCAGCAGAGTAAGGAGTATGTTATTTAAAGATAAAGAATACAATAGGACCAGATGTGTGATAAATGGGTGCAGTGGATGCTATAATGGTGTCTGGCAATAAAACACAAGAGAAGAATCTCAAGCTGAGCATTATGAGCAATTGTTCTGAGACCACAGAAAAAAAAAGAAGAAAAAAAAGGCTTTTGTTTTGTTGGCAGACCATCAGAGAGAGCAGTACCTTTTTGTGCTGGGCCTGGTAGTCTTCCATGGTCGGGAGGTCAGCCAGATATCGCTCGAGCGTCTCAATCCGCTGCTGTTTTTCTCTGTTCTGCTCCGACTCCTTCTGGCACTTCTTTTTCAAGCTGTTGATGTGCTTGTCCCGACTGCGGATCTGTGTAGTAAAGAGCAACAACACAATGTAAAATCAAACATGAGTTCAATGAGATTCAGGGTCATATGTGGTAGGCCACATGATGAAGCTTGGATATGCTCACCCTCTCCTCTTGTTTCTTTAACTCCTCTGCATGTTTTTCACTGCTCTCTTTCGAGACCTCGTTCAGACGTTGCGTTTCTGCTTCCACTGCACCCAGTCTCCGGTCTGCTTCTAGCTTCTCCTTGGTAAAGCAGTCGTTGCGCTCGGCAAACTGGGCTCGCAAAAAGGCATTTTCCCGCTGGGCTTCCTATCACACACACAGAAAGAAGACAGATGATTCACTGAGATGTATTGATAAAGAGTGAGGAAAAGGCTATGTGCATGCATGTGTGCTAACCTGTAGTCTCAACAGACACACATCGGCGTAAGGGGCTCCACGTCCCATGAGGGCACTGTGCATCTGCAGCTCACTCTCTCTGAGACACTGTTCCAGCTGAGACATTTGCTGCTTCTGCCTGCAATGCACAAGTTACTGTGTTTAGCATAAGTTAATGTTCACAATCTTTGTAGGACATAAGACACTTTCATATTACCTTTCAATGGTAAGTTCTTTCTCTTTCAGCAAGTTCTCGTTGGCTTTAATGATAGCATCCCACTTGCTGTTCTCCGTATGAGGAGTTGCTGGATACAGAGATGCATACTGTCCACTTCCTCCAGTCATTAACTGCAATAAAAATAAGTAAATAAATAAAATAGTAGGTGAAGCAGGAACTCTTATTTAAAACAGGCATAAAAACACAGTAAGCCCTAGAACACTTTAAAGTAAACATACTATAGTATGATGTGTCAAAATGACACTGAATATTAAACAAAAAGAAAAATGTAAGGCTAAACTTCCTGTCAATCAAAAGAAGGTGGAACAATTTGTTGGACCGTTAAAAAAAACTCATGCAGTGAAGAAAATGTCTCTGGCACGAAGTTGACAGCAAAGTTGCAATTTGAAGCGTAAAAGCAGGGCAATTCAACACTCATAATATGTGGTGCTTTTGTTTCAGTGTTTGTCAATAGCAGTTTGAATTTTAGATTTATAGAATCAAATGTGTAGTTTATTACTGTCAGAAATATTAACAGCACTGGATTTTCAATCTCTGCTATAATTCAATATTGAGAAACGGTTATAAACTAAGTTATCTTGTTAGCTAAATAAACGTGTAAAAAATGATATAGATAATTATTTAAACCATAAATTATTCAAAACCAAGACAGCAGAAAAAAACCCACCAAACTATCAGGTATTGTTCTAAACAATCTGATACCGGTATCGGCACACTAATTTTACATTAAGTTATTAGTTGTTAGCCTACATTGCAATTGATTTACATTTTCCCTGGCTGGATGAAATAAAGCAAAGAAAAGTTTTAGAGGCAAAGCATTACATTGTGTTTGTTTACTAACAAAAAAAACTATTAAAAACACTTTTGTTAGCTAAAATAAATAGAAATAAAAATAAAAGCAAAATAGAAATATTTAAAACAAAAACTAATAAAATGACAAAAGCACATACTAAATTTACTAAAACTTAAACTAAAATTAAAAATCTATAAATAGTAGCCAATTCAAAATATGAATAAATACTAACATATACAAATAATAGGCTATTAAAATAACACTGATTGATGAAAGATATAACAAACAAAGTCAAACACTGTCTATTTTTGGAACCGCATGCACTGAAGAATTATAATTCACAATAAGACTCGAAACACGTGTTGAATTAGAGTTAATTTCTTGCTGACTTTAAATAGATGATTCACGATTACATAACTGTTCCCTTTTCCTTTCATGTATGCAGCAGGACACAAGCTGAACTCTTACCTGCATTTGTTCCACCTGTAGCCGCAGACTCTCCAGTTTCTGCTTCTGCTGTTGCCAGCTGGCCAGCTCACAACAGCGTTCCTGCAGCAACGGATCATAAGCTCCTGTGTTGGACTGGTCCCTCAGGAGAGCATGAGTCTGCAGGCCCTGAGGTATGGAGAACATCCTGCCAGAGGCACCTGACCCTGGATGAATGTTCCTTTGGCTGTATGGGTCTACAGGACAAGCGAGACCTGCCCTAGCCTCTGGTAGGACTTTAAACGTCTGTTCCAGCAAGCCTGTTATGTCCCCAAGCCCGGTCAATTGCAGCTGCTGCCGTACATCAGGGCAAAGGCCCCCAAGCAGAGCCGACTGATTAAGCGTTGGCTCCATGGCAGGTACATCAAACTTCTGGGCTTCATCCAGCCGCGTCTGATCTCCAGAGGGGAAGAGCGAGTGGTCGAGACCGTTTACTAGGCTGAGATATCGGCTCAGGCAATCAGGCTTGACCGCATTCAACTCTAAATTTCCATCGTGCTGAGCTTCCAGGTTGGGGGAGGATGCAGATTTGGGGAGGGATGACTTAGAGCTGGAAGAGCTGGAGGACGCCCGGGTTTCTTCAGAAACATGTGGCTTGATCTTAGAGGCCAGAGTTCCGGCCGTGGAAGGCATGACATGGGCGGTGGGGATGGGGATCTGACTGCGGATGGGCTGGAAGGATGGACTGCTGCTAGTGCTGCAGATATCTAGAACAGAAAATGGAGTGAGACATAAATGAAACCAAAAAAAAAGTGGCTGTCTAGTTTTCTTTGTATAGCGGTCAAAAAAGACAGATTTTTTTTTTGGTTTCAATTAAATTAATCTGCTATATTTTAGCTCGATTATGTTTTTTTATTTAATAATAATAATAATAATTCATTACATTTATATAGCGCTTTTCTTGGCACTCAAAGCGCTTTACATAGAAGGGGGGATCTCCTCAACCACCACCAATGTGCAGCATCCACCTGGATTGATGCGACGGCAGCCATATTGCGCCAGAACGCCCACCACACACCAGCTTATTGGTGGAGAGGAGACATAGTGATTAAGCCAATTGGTGTATATATATATATATGGGGATGATTAGGAGGCCATGATGGACAGAGGCCACTGGGCAAATTTGGCCAGGATGCCGGGGTTACACCCCTACTCTTTCGAAAGACATCCTGGGATTTTTTGTGACCACAGAGAGTCAGGGCCTCGGTTTAACGTCTCATCCGAAGGACGGTGCTCTTTGACAGTATTGTGTCCCCATTACTATACTGGGGCGTTAGGACCCACACAGACCACAGGGTGAGCGCCCCCTGCTGGCCTCACTAACACCTCTTCCAGCAGCAACCTGGTTTTCTCAGAAGGTCTCCCATCCAGGTACTAACCAGGCTCAGCCCTGCTTAGCTTCAGTGGGCAACCAGTCTTGGGCTACAGGGTGATATGGCTGCTGGCATAAAATAGAAAATATTTCATATTTTCTATTTTATGGGGATTTATGGCACCAAATTTGATTTATGCAGTAGTTATAATCCATTCACTTTTGGAGCATAGGCCTGAAAATGACATTTCCAACTTAAGTCTGTGTTCCAAAACATTCAAGATTTATTACAGATTAAGGTTGGTCTCTTTTTAAAGAAAAAGAAACTCTTTCACTCTTTTGAAAAAAAGTTTTAAAAAATTAAGTTTATTGTTATGAAAAAAAAATATATATATATTTTAAATTTTTTAAATATACATTTTTCAAAACACAATTTACTCTAAAACTACTTTCAGTAAGATTTTGTTTAGCCGCAGTACCAAACGTTTCCACCAGTCATCTCCAATGCAGTCATTTTGGACTGTGAGGATATATGTGTGACTATTTTTCATGACTATTTAACCTTTTCAAATTATGTCCATGAATTTAATTTGGGTTCACATAGCAAGTGCCAAAACCCAGTTTCGTCCCCATTCCGATGAAGTAATAAATAAATAAAAACTTTTTAAAAAATGTTGTCAAAAATTACAGAAGAGCACCAGAGAGTTAAAGTTAATATTTAACCAAATGTCTACGATTATACAGTTGTACAGTAATGGCATATTTTCAATGTTTATTTTCTAAATAACTGTTTGTTATTCACTGATAGACATTGTTTCACAGACACATTAAATTGGAGAAAGCCTGGAATATTACTTAAAGTCAGTAATATTCGAGCTGTTTATCAAGTTATACCATGGCAAAATAAATGTAAAAGAAATCAAAAATCATTTCAAATTAAAGTAAAATAGTAAATAAAAAAATATAAGAAAATAAAAGACAGTTCTTCCATTTTGACCCATATTTAAAACATAAATCATTAACAAATTATATAGACATTATATAACAGAAAAAAGGATGTTGCTAAATTAGCCAATCTTTCGATTTTGGCAAAAAATAACAAATTAATGCTAGCTAGCTTTGACATCTAACAAACTATTGCAAAAAAACAAACAAAAAAAAACAGGTACTCACCTTGCTAGCAGTAAAAGCGATACCAAAACATGATAACATTTCCATACACTGAAGGACAGTAAGGCATACAAAAACACTCCTCCAAGTGCATCTTCAGTAAGTGATTTAGACGGTAACACTTTAGAATACTGTATCTTACTTACTGCATAACTAATAATGAATTATTGAAGAACTAGTAGGTAATTCTTCATTAACTACTTCTTCACTACTGTTAACTACTGAGGAAGATGTGTTAACTAATCAGTATGTAATAGAATTTTATGATTGTGTTAAGTTACAGTTAGTTAATCAATAACTAATGAATTCTGTCATACCTCCTGAAGAACTACCATTAATTATCTATTAATTAAGGTTCAAGAAAAATAACTAAGAAGTAACTAATGAACAGTCATACAAAACTAACCTCAGATTAGTTTTTATATTTTATATACAGTACTGTGTGTGTCTGTTTTCCTCAGCATAGAATGCCATTGAGTAAATTCATGTATTTTAGGCAACAACTGAGGGGAACTGAAAATATAGGGAACTTATTAGTAATTAATAAAGAATTATTAGATAATTCTTCAGGAATTATTTATAACCTGGAACAGTATTCTAAAGTGAAAATACAGGGAACCCATTAGTAATTAATAAATAATTATCAAATAATTATCCAGGAATTAGGCTACTTATAACCTGAAACAGTATTATAAAGTGAAAATATAGGGAACTTAATACTAATTAATAATGAATTATTAGATAATTCTTCAGGAATTACTTAGAACCTGGAACAGTATTCTAAAGTGAAAAAACAGGGAACTCATTGGTAATTAATAAATAATTATCACATAACTATCCAGGAATTAGGCTACTTATAACCTGAAACAGTATTCTAAAGTGAAAAATTAGGGAACTTATTAGTAATTAATAAAGAATAATTAGATAATTCTTCAGGAATTACTTGTAACCTGAAACAGTATTCTAAAGTGAAAAAATAGGGAACCCATTAGTAACTAATAAAGAATTACCACATACTTCTTACTCAAATAAAACTTACTGCAAAAAAAACACTATTAACGTAATCATCCATAACCTTTGTAAAATACACTACGACTCGTTTAAGCTACATGATATCTTCCTTTATTTCAGATGATATTTTGTTTTGACATGTATACTGCCTACATTTAAACTCGTTTAACAAACAGCTCTAAGAACATATTTTAACATCTGATGTAAATAGATTTACTATCTTTATGAATAAAATAATTTGTTTTATGCAAGGGATCATGCGTTTTCATCACGCAAAAAAGACCAACTCAGCTAGGTAGGCTAACTGACCTCGCGTCCTTGTATGTTGCCTTGCATAAAATAAAATGATTTACAGCACAGTAATGATTTAATAGATTAAATAAAACGTACACAATCCTGTATTTCGCAGAAGAAATGCACCAAATCGGCGGCGCTGAGAACTCTCCAGAAGAGGATGCAAATGCCCGCGCTCTTGCATCACCAAATCACTGTAAAATGTATGCTACCGTGATATTGCCGGAACTTGAATGGTGCAAAATAAGTTTAAAATGTATAAGAACTAAGTATAATAATATGCTTTTTACTTTTTAAGTACTTTAAAAATTAATTACCTTTGTACTTTTACTAAGGTAATTTTGAAAATGGCCTAATTATAATTTTACTGGAGTAATATTTTATTGTGGTATCTGTACTTTTACTCAAGCACTTGAGTTGTGTACTTCTTCCACCACTACAATGCTAAAAAAAAAAAACTGGATTATTGACTAGGCTACTGTGTATGACTGTTCATTAGTAGTTACTTCATAGTTATTTTTCTTGAACCTTAATTAATAGATAATTTATGGTAGTTCTTCAGGAGGTATGACAGAATTCATTAGTTATTGATTAACTAACTGTAACTTAACACAATCATAAAATTCTATTACATACTGATTAGTTAACACATCTTCCTCAGTAGTTAACAGTAGTGAAGAAGTAGTTAATGAAGAATTACCTACTAGTTCTTCAATAATTCCTTATTAGTTATGCAGTAAGTAAGATACAGTATTCTAAAGTGTTACCATTTAGACAAACTACTGATCTTAAAACACGCCCACTCCGTCTGCCAGAACTCGTCCTTCAAAAAAAGTCAAGCTCAGGCAAGGTGAGTACCTGCTATGAGAGTTTGTTCTCTCTCCTACAACCGTGTTAGTTCAGGAGAGCATACACACAGAAAGGTTAGCGGTATTTATAGAGCACTCTCATGTTACGCTGTGAGGTGTCTATGTGTGGGCCTCCTGCTTTAACCATACAGCTCACCTCACACTCATACATGCCTAATGGTCCTTAATACTGTAATACTTCTGAAGTGCATTTAAACAAGTTCCTCAATACAACAATTAAATTAACACAAATTAAGTGGAGATGTGAAGAGGCAGGCAGCAGTAGGAGTGTCTGCCCTGCGGGTGCCTCTTTTAAACACCTGCTGTGGACAGGTTTAAACAATTCTTTGGGTTGACGAAAGATTCTTAGAGGCTTTCTGTCATTACAAGAAACACCCAGAGCAAAACAAAGCCGTCACCATTGCAACACAGAAGCCCACAGACATTCAACCATATATTTAGAACCTCTAAAGTAAAACGGCTGCCAAGAAGTTTTGTGCCGCCACCGTTTTGGCCGTTTTAAAAACGAATAAAAGCCGTCTTATTATTAGGGTGTCAGTATAAGTTATACTTGGTTGCTAGGTGCCACAATTGTATGTATGAAAACTCAATAGATTGAGCAGTTAATCATTACTGCTACTATGGGAACTATCTGAGAGTTGTACAATTTTAAAATCTTTTTGATTCAGACTGATGCACTAAAAGCTCGGGGTCAGTAAGATTTTTATTTGTTTAATTAATATTTTATTCAGCAAGGCTGCATGACATTGAACTTAATGTACAGATCTTTACATGGTTACAAAAAAAAATCTATTTTAAATAAATGCTGTTCTTTTGAACTTTCTATTCATCAGCATCCTGAATAAAAATGTATCACAGGTTCCACAAATTAATCTTAAGCAGCACTACTGTTTTCAACATTGATACCAAATCGCCATTACTATTTTTACTGTATCTCTTTGATAAAAAAAAATGCAGCCTTGGTGAGCATAACAAATTTCTTCAAAAAACAGTCTATAACTTCTATAGAAAATTCCACAACTTTACCAGACCTGGAAAAAAAAACATTTAAAATTTTTCTGATATTTCCAGGTTTCTTTATGAATGTAAATGGTAATCCTGGATAAAATGATAAATTACAGCAAATGAGTCATAAATAATAATTTAACAATATTACTAAACACAGTGTCATCATTATGTTTTGGAAATCGCATAAAAGGGTATAAAAACTTCTGTTAATCGGGCATGGTTATGCCATGTGTCAGTGACAATATTGTAAACATAAGCTATACATTAACACAGAAATGTTTTTAAACGCACTGCACATTCAGTACAGATCTGTGGTAATCGACAAACACCAGCTCTTCAGTACAGCTAATCTTTTAACAAGGCAGAGAGAAGGAAACAAGACCAGGATCAGAGTTTCCATTCGGCCCTCCAGGTCAGGCCCTCCTAATGAGACCCCCATCAGTGGAAGTGCAACACCGCCTGGAGGAATCTATGGTATGGAATATCATATCCTCCTCCAAATCTCACAGGAGTTCCAGAACTCTGAGCACATCTCCATGACTAAGAATATTACAGCTTAGTCTAAAAACAACCAGCAGGATGTTAATGTCTGTTGTAAATTAAAAAGGGTTCTCTTTAAAACCAATGATTGTTTGGTGGAATTTTTTTTTTTAAAGTCACTAATTCAATTAATTCAATTTGGATCCATGATGTCTGAAGATTAATATATTAATTCTTAAGGTGACAAAACTTCTATTCTTGTACATGGGTACGCAAGCATTGTCCAATGCCTGGAAATCAAATGTTATTTTTTTTCAATTACATGAGTAATGTTAAAATGAAGGGGCTGATGAGGACTTGCTCACGTGAACTCGGGTCCATTACACAACAGGCAAGTCAATGAACATGACAATATCTGAACACCCGCAGAGCAGTGTTAATTTCGTTGACGAAAATAACGACGAAAATTATTCGTCAACGACATTTTTTCACAGACGAAAACGAGACGATAACTAAATAAAACCTAGTTTTGAATGACAAAGACTATGACGAAAATCTATTGACATTTTCGTCAACGAATAAAAACTAGACGAAAATGTTAGATAGTGACGATTTGGGAAGCGATCCGTCAGAACTGATGTCCTGCGTGTGTGGTAGATGCGCACATTTGTAGGCTACTGTAACGTGATCTACCCCGCGGTCATAAAACGTTAAAAAATGTGAATGTCTGGGAGAATGAGTAGGGCAGACATATAGATCTCTGAATAAGAGTGACGATGCAAAAAAGAGCTCTATTCGGTGCGGTTTTCTGTGCGCACACACCTAACCCGAAGCGTGCAGTCATGCACAATACACCTACAGCGCGCGAGTAGGCTACTGAATTGAGCTCTCTTTCGTGTCTGAATGGAGAAATACACAACAGTATGTCTAAATGTCCTTTTTGGAGAGTATTCATGTAAACTATGCTGGTTATGTCTTAAACTGTGAGTGTGTCGGATGTGCATCAGTGCAATTGTATCCGCATGTCATTGGACATGATCCGACGTCTTAAAGTGACAGTGGCAATAAACCTAATGCGGTCCGTGTCCTTAATTTTGATCAAGCAACAAAAGAAAAAGAGAAAAGCATTCACTGCTCATTAATAGCTTTAATAAGGAGGATTAATTATATTTAATTCATACAAATAAATATGTCTGCTTGAAAGAATAAAGAATGATGTGTAAGTAGTTATAAGGAATGAATATATCATTCATTGTAAAGAAGACTGTGTTGTACTTTAGGAAAAGTGGTTTTATTTCATTTTAAGATATTTTTTAAGTAACAGCAGTTAAATCTGTATCTGTATTGCATGTTCAAACTTAAAAATCATTCATATTAATAGGTTAATAGATGTTTTCTCCGGGAGTATATGGGTTTGGAAATTTTAGAGAAATTCTAAATTAACGCATTACAATTGAACTAAACCCATTATATTTTAGTCGACTAAATCTACTGTAGATTTAGTCGACTAAAATGTTATTGTATTTCGTCGACTAAAACTAGACTAAAACTAAAACAATTCAGATGACTAAAATATGACTAAAACTAAATGGCATTTTAGTCAAAAGACTAAGACTAAAACTAAATCAAAATTTGCTGACAAAATTAACACTGCCGCAGAGTTCTCACCTTCAGTGTGGTCAGAGGAACCCAGTCCCGTGTCCCCACTGTCCGCTGTGCTGGGCCGCCATCCAAAACGGCTCTGGAACTTCTCAGACACAGCAGGTGTCAGCCACTCTGTGTCAGAGTGTCCTGCTGGAGCAGAAAATAACCACACTATGTGACAATCTATTATGGTTATTATGAGGTACATGACATAGCATAAAAGGATAGTTCACCCAAAAATGAAAAAAATCAGTAATTACTCACCCTCATGTCGGTCCAAACCTGTAAGACTTTCGTTCATCTTCGGAACACAAATTATATTTTCAATGAAATCGGAGAGATTTCTGTCCCTCTATGGGCAGCTACGTACTGTAACTGAAACTTTGACACTTCAAAAAGTTCAAGTTAGTCAAAATTTTCTGAAGAGACATGATCACTTTATATGATGAACAGATTTAATTTAGGCTTTTATTCACATTTAAACACTGATCATCGAACATTAACAGAAGCTCAACCGAACCTGCTTGAAGCAACGAGAAACCTCATTGGTTCTTGCGGAAGCTCAAACGTGATGCGTAACACGAGAATGAACCTCATTGGTTCTCGCACATCAAGCGAACATGCTTGAGCTTCCGTTTACCACAACTGATAGGTGAGGTGATGAATGTTTATATGAGAATAAAAGCCTAAATTCAATCTGTTCATCATATAAAGCGAATGTGTCTCTTTTGAAATTTTGGACTAAACCGCTTAAATTTATATGGATTAGTTTTACGATCCCTTTATGAACTTTTTAAAGAGTCAAAGTAGTAGTTGTGTAGCTGTCAATGGAGGGTCAGAAAGCTCTCATATTTCATCAAAAAGATCTTCATTTGTGTTTCGAAGATGAATGAAAGTCTTACAGGTTTGGAACGACATGAGGGCGAGTAATTAATGACAGAATTTTCATTTTTGGGTGAACTATCCCTTTAAGTTCAACCCTAGTTCTGTACCTGTGTTTTTGGGGTTCTGGTATTTCTGTGAAGTGGTCATTCCTGTGGCAGTCACCTGTGGACCAGATACATTAGTGAATTTAAAGACAAAAAAGCAACACTGTCAAACACACACACAAAAGTTTTGGGGGGCAGGGAAGGAGGATACATTAAATTTAATAACAAAGTAAATAATTTCGCTGTGTAATATTATTATTATTATAATTATATAATATCATAATAATAATATTATTCTTAATATAATATAATTTTTAGCAGTGGTTTTCCAGAACCACTGATTATTTACATATATATTTTAAAAGTACGCAAAATCATTCGTTGATTAACTCTTTAACAATATATTTCTTGCAAAACAAAGCAGAAAATATTTTTCAAAGCTTAGAGCTGGAATAGTTGTCAAAGTTAACTACGTTAACTAATTTTCATGCTATTTTTAAGATACATGTGGCTTCATTTCTTAATTTACAGAAGCTAACCCTAACCAAAAAGCCAACAGAGAACTTTGTTAAATGTCATCAAGAATCCCAGATTATTATGGCATTAAACTCATTTAAATGTTCTTAATAACTTTGAAAACCACCTCTCCATATGTTGCTACTTCAAACAAACACATTAACACATCGCACAGATAACCAAGTTAGCTAACGTAAAGAGTTTAAAAGGTCGGTAAAAAGTAAACAACTCCACGTAACTTACCTTAACTCACGGGCTGAAAGGGTCTTTACTAAAGTTAACAATGACGCGAACACAGCCCACAGGGACAATAATAAGCTTCATCACATGAGACACGCTGATTGGATGCTAATATCAACAACAAGGACACAAAGCAGTCAAACTAAAAGCGGCCTCGAGCTTCAAATACCCGCCGACCGTGGAGCCACTGAAACTCGCGACTCTTTTTTCAACCGTTATTCTACTTCTTCCTCTGCGTTTAACTCGCGTGCCAGGCTGAGACCACAAGCGCCCCCTGTCGCTTTCTTCGTGAGCTGCAGGTGCGCAAACCAGACACACACCTGATTTTATTACGCAAGTTATTCGCAAGACAATCAATGCCATATTAAAATATTAGATTCCATTTTAGAAGGGGGTTCTAACTAACAATACGCCATATTTTGGGGGCCCTGGCATAAAAAAAGTTAGGAAAACCCTGCTCTCTGGGGTACACATAGCTTACCCCTGATTGGAAAACACAGTAAGTAAACTCAATTGCACTCCAGCCCAATAAGGGGAGCTTGTCTGCAAGTCAGTTCATGCACCTCCATTGAACAGAAGCAGCAATAGCAGCAGTAATCGGTGGCACGCTGGGGGCAAACTGGCAAAGCAACGTTTATTCCCGTGTAATTATCTCAAAGTATTGATTTTGTGAATGATTGCACGCCGGTGCCCGCACAATAGATTGCAATGGCACCGGGCTGGCAAGAGATCGCTTCACAGCATGTGGAACAGATAACGGGATATGTCAGAGAAACCCTGTCGACCGGCCTCGTCTATCTGAAGTCTGAGCTGGGAATAGACTTGGGCTTGAATCCTGATCTGTGCGCTCCATGGCTGCTCCTTTTAACAGCTTGGGTCGGACTGGTTTTCTTGGTCATTTTATGGGTCTCGGTCTGTCGTGGTTTCTCTAAAAGCCTTACAGGGACAGAGACAGGAGACACCGCCGAAAACACCGATCCAGGGCAGCCGGTGAAGAAGGCAGATGAGCCCAAGAGAAGGAACAGAAAGAAGAATGCTGAAAAGGTTTGCTTCGTTTAGAGGCGGGGTTACTGACTCGTTTCTTTTGAATCGGTTCAACACAAATATTCTATCAAATTCATTTATTGCAGGTTGCATCGTTGCGCCTATTGGTGGAGACAAGCGAGTGTTTTTGTGTTGTACTCAAACGATTCATTAGAATTACTGAGTCGTTCACGATTAAAACACCACTAACTGACATTCAAGCATCCAAATTCTATTAAAAACAGCTGTCGAATGGCATAATTTGAATAAAATCACCACACTTCAAATAGCAGTAGTAACCTTTACATGTATTACTATCCCATTGTCTTTTATTTTGAAAATAAATGTTTCACAGAAGGCCCAGAGAAATGGACTTGCTGTTGAACCGCAGGAAGATGCCAAAGTGCTGGACGATCAAGAACTACCAGAAGTGAAGACTGACAAGGTCATAATGATGTGCATTCTGTCATTCAATTTGACATTTAGGTTTAAAGGGATAGTAAGGCCAAAAATGAAAATACTGTCATTTATTTATGTTGATGTTCCTGATGGTTTAGGCAAAGAAGAATAAGAAAAAGCCAAAGCCTACTGCAAAAGAGAAAAAATCTTCTATATCCGTTGATGGCAAAGAACCTGATGAAGGTATATTTTGATTATTATGAATCCCATACTTTATAAATATTACACAGAATTAGTACAAAGGTTGTACAAAATAAGTGATTTATTAGATAGATATTGGCTAATTATGTATATTTTTATTTGTAAGGCCACAAGCATAATATATATATCGCGATTAATCGATTCTAAAATAAAAGTTTGTTTATATAATATATTATATATGTGTGTGTATATATATATGTAACATGTGTGTGTATGTGTGCACACAGAAACATATGCATGCATATATTTGGTATATATAATTGCTATATATATATATATATATATATATATATATATTTGACAGCAGTAATATATATTTTACATATATTATATTATATATTAATATAACACACTACCCAGCCCCCAAAAAAGTTGCTGTTTCGATTTAAATGGCCAAATGCTTAAGAGTCAATGATTGGATCATTATTGCAGTGATTATTATGTTTCCAGCATGTTATATGTTTGGCAACAGTTCTTCCAACCCCAATTGATTGAGTGTGTAGCTTTACATTTCTTAAACAACCATGCAGGAACAAGACACATCATGGCTATATTGTCAAGAGATTCATCAGGCTCAAATTGTGAAAGAATGGTTGGGAGGAGCATGAAGAATCATTTTCACACATGAATTCACACGAGTCCAGACCTTAAATTCATTGAAAGTCTTTGGGATGTGCTGGAGGAGACTTTACAGAGCGCTGGACAATACAAGCTCTTGACCAAAAATGGATGCACCTCTTGATGCAAATAAATGTTGTGATGTTATTTCCATCAAGAGGTGCATCAATTTTTGCCAAGATCTTGTATTGATCCAAGAGTCAAGAATTGTATGCTAAATAAATAATTCCAAGAATGTATGTATTTTTTTTGTGTGTGTGTGTGTGTGTGTATATATACACACACAAATAATTGTTCACAGAAGTTATTTGCTTAATAACTCAGAACTTGAATTTTATTTGCATAGTGGTTGGAACATGTTTGTCATTGTAATTGTATCTGTCAGGTACCTGGGAGACCAAGGTCAGTAACCGTGAGAAACGACAACTGAAGCGGAAGGACAAGACTCCAGGTGATGGGTCAGGCAGCCCAGAAGCAACAGCAGCTTTGACTGCCATTAGTACAATGGAGCCGGTCCAAACCACCCCAGAAGAACAAGAAACCAACATCACCACCACGGTTTCTACACCTCCAGTCCAAAGAGAAGTGGAGGGTATATGATCACTGTATAATTTGTTATGGTTCATTACAGTTGTGAATATATAATGGGAGAAACGAAACAATTTTTCCCCCAACATTTTTAGTTGACCCACCTGAAATTGAAGCAAGTTTTGTACGAGACACTGTCGTTCCTCAAGGTAAAAAAAACAATTGTTAACAGATTATAATGTGAAGTATAGATAGACTTATTTGTTTATTTATGCTTGTATTGATCATGGTAGTGACACCATGCTGGGAGGAAGGGCTGGCTGTTAATGGTTCTGGCGTGAGTGATGTGGGCCTGCAGCGTCCTCCTCAGATGGCCAGTGTTCAGGCAGAGAGCTGGACCAGCATGACTGTCCCCACTGAGCGTCAGACTAGTGAACCCTCTGTCTGGTCCCAAGATATGGAAGGTACTGAGAAAAAAAGTTTCAGGAATCACAATTTCTTCACGAGAAGGGCATGTTTTGTCTTATTATATCACTTATTGTATGTGTCTTATAAAATGATGGACTGGTTGAGCCTTGGTGCTCATGCTGGAGATGCATGGTGTGTGAATCTGGCGTGAAACTTGCCAATCACATTTATTCTATCCTAATTTCTTCTCTATTAACTCAGTCAATGAAAACCTTTTATGTATTATTCAGTGAGTTTTTTTATTAATACTTTAAATTAATTAATTCCTTAATACTAATCAAAAATGATAGTAAAAACATTTAAAATGTTACAAAAGAATTCTATTTCAAATAAATGCTGTGCTATTGAAGTTTCCATTCAAGAATGAATCCTGAAAAAATGTATCATGGTTTCCACAAAGATATTAAAGGGATAGTTCACTTTGAAATTAATTTTTGGTATGTTTTAGCTTACCTCAAGGGCATCCAAGATGTAGGTGTCTTTGTTTCCGCAGTAGTTTCAATTTTGATATTTTTAGGTCAAACCGTTCTTGTCTGTCAGTCATATAATGCAGGTCTATGGTCACCACCTCAAAGAGCATGCACAGAGAAGTCCAAATTAAACATGATTTAATGACTCGTAAATGTAAGTACACATTGATGGCCTAAGACACGAAACGAGCGGTTTGTGTGAGAAAACGAACAGTATTTATATCGTTTTTACCTCTTGTAACCACAGCCACGTCCAAGTGATCTGAGGGCGCGGGCGCTTCGGTCTGCGCAAGCGCCGGAAGTGATCTCTCGCGCATGTACGTCACTCATTGTTTACACAGAGATTTCGGAAGTGTTACCTTTCACTGTGAAGATCTAAACATATTTAGATATACAGGAAATCGCAATGGAAGACAATTTCGATATATCAACAGACAACGTTGAATTTTTTTTGTTTTTTTGGAAGAGATCACTTCCGGCGCTTGCGCAGACCGAAGCGCCCACGCCCTCAGATCACTTGGACGTGGCTGTGGTTACAAGAGGTAAAAACGATATAAATACCGTTCGTTTTCTCACACAAACCGCTCGTTTCGTGTCTTAGGCCATCAATGTGTACTTACATTTACGAGTCATTAAATCATGTTTAATTTGGACTTCTCTGTGCATGCTCTTTGAGGATGTGACCATAGACCTGCATTATATGACTGACAGACAAGAACGGTTTGACCTAAAAATATCAAAATTGAAACTACTGCGGAAACAAAGACACCTACATCTTGGATGCCCTTGAGGTAAGCTAAAACATACCAAAAATGAATTTCAAAGTGAACTATCCCTTTAAGCAGCATAACTGTTTTTTCAACATTGATAATAATAAGAAATGTTTTTTAAGTAGCAAATCAGCATATTAGAATGATTTCTGAAGGATCATGTGACACTGAAGACTGGAGTAATGATGCTGAAAATTCAGCTTTGCATCACAAGAATAAATTACATTTTTAAAATATATTAACATAGAAAACCATTATTTTAATATATAATAATATTTCACAATATTACAATTATTTTGTGAGCATAAGATACTTCTTTGTGTATACATTGAATGTAAAATGCAAGTAGATTAATTTGTTTATTTTTTATTCTTAATACAGGCTCATGGACCATTGTTTCATTCAGTGGATTGACTGCTGGTAATTACAAACTTATGAAATAAATGCGTAAATAAACTCAACTGTAGCTCTGCTCATATTCAGCCAGGAGCTGTTTCTCTGTACCACTTAATCATGTACAGTATCTCCAGTTTCACCATGATCTGTCGCATATAAAAATAACTACATCCAAAAAATAAAAACCATGTGTTTACTCTGTTTCCAGTCCCTGACCTGAGTTGGAGTGCTCAGCCTCCTGTACCAGTGGATGACGAGTGGTCTGGAATAAGTAAGAATCTATACATGCCCAGAACCTGCTTTCATTCACATACAGTCACAGACTTACTAAGAGTTGCTGTTGTGTTCCTAAGAAAGCACATCTGCAGATCCATCGTGTGATTGGAACGCTCCGTCAGAGGAGTGGGGGAACTATGTTGAGCAACAGCCCGTGAGCACAAAACAGCTGGAGCCGCCAGTCCCAGAAGTGGCACAGGTCAGTCCTGGAAGTGGCACAGGTCAGTTCGCTGTGCAGCTGTAGGCCTGTGGAAACAAACTTAATTTTTACCTCTCTGAATTAATAACGAGAAGGAATCGAAATCAGTTTCTGATCTGCGTTTTGATCAGAATCTGTTTCTACATTTTAGAAATATTGATGGTGATGAGAGAGAGAAAGGCTGCTGTTGCAAATAGACCTTTTTCACACTACAAACAAACATAGTTTTATTACAAACTGCAAGTGGGTTGTGACTTGATAAGGCTAATAATTATATCACAAAAAAAATCTCAAATTAAAATAAATAATAATTTAAAAATAAAAGCTATTAAAAAATATTTTATTTGTTTACCTCCATGTCATGTGACCATAAACCGATATCAAAGGACATGCGAATGGGTTGAAATATATGAAATTGAAATCTGAGGGGGTAAATATTTTAGATCAAAGGGGAAAAAATTGACCAAAAAAATAGGGAATCCTTGGGGTTACTTGTGTAGTCCCATTAAAGAACAAACGACTCTTATGAGTCGGTTCTTTTAATGATCAGTCAAAATGACTCTCAAATGAATCTCTATAATTCCGACTTCAAATAAATGCATTTAAGATAAACAGTTTTGAGTAATGCTTTACAATAAAGTTCCATTAGTTAACACTAACTAACGATGTAAAATACTTCTAAAGCATTTAGATTTCAGCATTTACTAATATATTATTAAAATCTAGAGTTGTATCTATAAAAAATATTGGATGGACTTGAACAAGGAACGGTTTTTAATAAAAAAAATAGTAAATACTAGGTAACACTTTACAATAAGGTTCATTAGTTAACATTAGTTAATGTATTAACTAACACGATCTAACAATGAGCAATACATTTGTTATAGTATTTATTAATATTTGTTAATGTTAGTTAATAAAAATACAGCTGTTCATTGTTTGTTCATGTTAGTTCACAATGCATTAACTAATGTTAACAAATACAACCTTTGATTTTAATAACGTATTAGTAAATATTGAAATTAATATTAACTCAAATTAATAAATGCTGAAGAAGTATTGTTCATTCTTAGTTCATGTTAACTAATGAACCTAACAAATGTATTGCTAAAATGAACTAATGGGACTTTATTGTAAAGTGTTGCCCAGTTTTGTTATAATAAATGGTACTTTGAAAAGCATTGTTAAAATAGTATGGTTAAATAATCGTTAATAGAATCAAAATTTAAGTAAATCCTGACAATTCGCATCCCTATAACCAAGAAGTTGAAGCAAGGCTGAAAACTGCCTAATTTTTTTCATTTCTCTTCATTCTACAGGAGTCTGATGACGAGAAAGATAAAGACGAAGCAGGCGCCCCTGGTAGCGTTAAAGCTAAGAAGAAGAAAAAGAAGAAGAAGAAAGTGGAAGATGCTGGACCTTCTGCTCCGGTGAGGATATTTCCAGAAATTATTCACAAAGGACTGAACTGTTACTTCAAGCCTAATGCAGAAAATCTGTATCATATTCAGTCGCAGATGAAGGCCGAGAGAGAACCGAGCGTTGCTACACCGGCACAGAGCATGACGGGATACGTCTCAGCTGCCACAGCAGGGGTGAGAACTCTGTTTTTCAACATTCATCTGGCTATTAGCAACAAAAACTAGTTCCTAAAGTTGTCATCATCTTCACAGCCACCGTCAGCTCCAGTACAGACGCAACAGAGAACAAGTGGACCCGAGCCGACTGACAAATCCACTCCTGTACCAACACAAAGTACGTTCAACCACCATATAAAAGCGTTTAAGTTTAAAGTGCCCCAATTGAGCTATTTTTAAAGGGATACTCCACTTTTTTTGGAAATAGGCTCATTTTACAACTCCCCCTGAGTTAAACTGTTGAGTTTTACTGTTTTTGAATCCATTCAGCCGATCTCCGGTTCTGGCGGTACCACTTTTAGCATAGCTTAGCATACATCATTGAAGTGGACAAGACCATTAGCATTTCTCAAAAAAAAATGACCAAAGAGTTTCGATATTTTTCCTATTTAAAACTTGACTCTTCTGTAGTTACATCGTGCACTAAGACCGACGGAAAATGTAAAGTTGCGATTTTCTAGGCTGATATGGCTAGGAACTATACTCTCATTCCTGCGTAATAATCAAGAAACTTTACTGCCGTACCATGAGAGCAGCAGGCGCAGGCACTTAGTCCCGGTCATGTTGGAAGTTACCGAGCTGGGGACTATTTTCAGGCGCTGCGTCATATCATTACGCCTGCTGCTCTCATGGTACGGCAGTAAAGTTTCTTGATTATTACGCAGGAATGAGAGTATAGTTCCTAGCCATATCAGCCTAGAAAATCGCAACTTTACAGGAACCGTCGGTCTTAGTGCACGATGTAACTACAGAAGAGTCAAGTTTTAAATAGGAAAAATATCGAAACTTTTTTGGTCAATTTTTTTTTTTTGAAATGCTAATGGTCTTGTCCACTTCAATGATGTATGCTAAGCTATGCTAAAAGTGGTACCGCCAGAACCGGAGATCGGCTGAATGGATTCAAAAACGGTAAAACTCAACAGTTTAACTCTGGGGGAGTTGTAAAATGAGCCTATTTCCAAAAAAAGTGGAGTATCCCTTTAAGGTTCCTGATTTGGTTTTGAAGGTCTCCTACAATAGGTTTACATGCATCCAAACATTTTAATTTTCTTATAATATACATAGTAGAATCACCTGTTTTGTCATTGTCTGAAACGGTTTAACAAAGGATTCAGTCTCTCTAAACCCCTCATTTCCGAGAGCCTGCTCTGCTCTGATTGGTCAGATGGCCCAGTCTGTTGTGATTGGTCTACCGCTTACAGGACATGTCGGAAACGGAACGTCCATTACCATATGTGAATATCCACTCTGGAAGCTTCAAACAGTAATGATGGTGGCAGTTTTACCATATCAATTCGAGCCCGAGTCCTCATCCTTTGGAAGTGCATGCGAAGTAAATTTGCTTTTGCTTAAAACAGCGTCTTCTCTACATGTCAAACCAAACTCTTCCAGGCCTCAGATACAACTACAGTGTTTGAGGGCGGGTCAAAGTAGACGTTGTTGGTGGTAGCCAATGAAAACCACAGGCTGGCATTATGCAAATTAGGTTACATTAATTCATTGCAGGAAGTGAGACTGGAATAACCGACGACTTTCAGGCGGTTCAGCTCGGTAGACAATAACTCCATTTAGCATGCTCTTTTACATTCACAAACAGCTATATTACACACAACATGAAAAGTAATTTCCAAAAATTTGGGAACAAAAAGGTTTGCAAAACACTATCTCTTCCCCACCAGAAAAAACAGATGACAGCCGGGAGTCCCCGAAACCACCAGTCAAAAAGAAGAAGGCTAGAAGAGAGACATGAAGAGTACGGAAGAGATGACAACATATGCAATCTTGGGGTTGTACAGAATTTCATACTTCCTGAGTGACTCGTTTTTTGATACCCTTAATCCACCGTGTTGTGAATCCCATCCTAGTGTCCACATCCCATTAGGTATATCTAGACAATGTACTGTAACGTTACCCGTCACATGAAGATTAGTTTCTTGTCTTTTTTTATGTTAAATGCTAATTATACAGTCAATTTGAAATGATTTGTATTTGCAGCAAAATGTTTTTGTAAGAAGATCCTGGTGATCCTCATGAAGCACTAGGGACGAATCAAGAACACTTAAGATTACGCACAGAAACCTATAGATCATTGAGCTGTTACATGAGAGCGTCGTCTCATCTTTCATTCATGAAACACTAAGGCGGATTAGAGTGCACTAATTTAGCCACGCTGGTTTGTTTTTCTGTCGTTAGGAGGAAAAGCAAGAAATCAAGCCATAGGTGAAAACCGTACCGAACTCTGAGAGACTTGCTGCTGGTGAGCAAGAGTAGATGATGCTATTATCAGACAAACAACTTCTTACTGTACGCTTTGGTGAAGTGGTAGTGACGTCGGCCGGGTTTTTTGTGATCAATGTTACACCAGGTACAGCAGTGTCAGGAAAATTTTAATGCCTTAACTTGTGTTGTGCAAGATGGCAGCAACGATCTGTCAGCTGCATGCGGTTTCCTCTTTCGTATTTATTGGTTAATAGAAGTCATGTTTAACGAGTAATACAGATTAAAGAGTTTCTTTGCACAGCTGTGTTAATGTCTGATTATTCGGTTTGAAATGTAGTCATTTTCACTCAAAAATGAAAATTGTGTCATCGCAAACTTCTATGAAACACACAAGATGATGTTTTGAAAGATGGGTTCCAGAGACTCCAGTGTTGTATTGTGCACCACTGACTTCAACTGTATGGACAAAAACAATAAAAACATTCTTTAAAATATGAGTAACTTTACAATAAGGTCTCATTTGTTAATTTAAGTCAATACGTTAGCTTGCATGCTCTAACTATGAGCAATATATTTGTTAATGTTAGTTAATAATGAAACATTGTGATGATTATCGAAGAAAAGAATTAGGACGGGGTCCTGGTTTTATTCATCAGTTGTTGATTGGATTTCAAGATGTGACCGTTGCAATTAAAAAATAAATGTGAGTTTGCGGCTGGGTTTAAGCGGACAATGATTGGAGAATCCCACATGTCAGCTGAGTAGATTAATCCTTAATTTGTTTAAATATTACGAGGACAAAAGTGAATGAAGGATGAATCTCTCACAATAACATACATTTACAAAATAGGCTGAGTTTATTTAATGCTGAGTTTAAGAATAAATGCTGTAGAAGTATTGTTTGTTAGTTTTTGTTCATGTTAAAAGGTCAAACTTACAAGAAGGTCCAATATATGTTTAAAGTGGTCAACCAATAAGGGTTTTTTAATGACCAATGATATGTTAAGTGGACAATTCAGTGCTAGTAAATCAGAATGAGCTTTATTGCCAAGTTTGTTTACTCGTATGAGGAATTTGTCTTGATGACAGAAGCTTCCACAGCACAGACAGAATGACAGCGACAAGACACGAATAATAAAAATATATGATACACAATGCAAATATAAAATAGACGATATGTGTATATACAAATGTAAGGGTTGTGTGTGCTAAATGTATGTTCAGTGTTCTGTCGCGCCGACCAGACGGCAACAGTTCAAAGAGGAAGTGTCCTGGATGTGAGGGGTCCAGTGTGACTTTTAGGGGGTGTACTGATGATTCTGTCCGCTGTAGTCTTCTGAGGACTGAGCTGAGCCAGACAGTAACAGAAGTGCAGAGGACAGACTCAATGACTGCAGAGTAAAACTGCATCAACAGCTCCTGTGGCAGGTTGAACAGATGTATGCAATCTTGCTGAAATGAAAAGGTATTTTACAGTTACTCAATTGATGAAAAATTGAAAACTGCAATTACGATATACATTGCATTCACAAAGCGGTCAGTAGAAATTAGAATTGATAAAAACTTTACTGAAGCTTTTCAGATTGGATCTGTGGCAAAATTTCCACAATCACAAGTGGTTAAAACATAATGTAGTACTTGCCCAATCAATGCTTCTGACCTCATAAATATGCAAATAAGAAGGATAAATCAGTGTGAAATCTCAAACCTGACTATCCAGGGTGAAGTATGAGCCTTACGTTTACCCAATATTAAATTAATTTGTGTTAAAAAAAATTCCCTCAAGATTATCAAGCAACGGAATTCTTTTTAATGAAGTGTTGTAAAGAGTTTTTTGGCAGCAGTTTAATCCATTTTAAAACTGTAAAAAAAAAAAAAAAAATCAAATAGACCCTTAATTGCACAAATCTCTAAAACACACCAGTCACAAAACACATGAGCCATTTAGTACATTAACATTTTATTAAATCATCATAAGGCCGCTGAGTAGTGTGCAGACTTCTTAAAGAGAAACATATACCCCAAACGTTTTCAGAGCACTGCCCACTGAAGAACTGGAGAAAACTGATGCCCAGTAAGGCACATTTACAAACAAACATCTAATCCATCACCCCACCTGAGTAGTGCGCAGCCTGTCATCTGTAGATATCAAACTATGTAATTCATGGCTGAACAACTGAGGATTTTTCAAAGTATCTTCTGTGATGATGATCTGAATAATTATCAAATATAAATTCTTAAATGTGAAGAGTACACATCTCGGGCCACCCATTACATCCCAAAATAACTCAAATGTTTACAGTCATTACACTCAGGTGATCTTCTATGTGAGCCAACAGACTTGGGTAAGGGACAGATTTAATTAACCTGACCATTAATGACCACTAACATTTTGTAATTGTAAAAAAAAAAGACTAGTTCTGTTAAGCAATAAAAGAAGAAAAAAACATGCTTGTTAAAAAAAAAATTATGATATGAATTTTTGGTATCTCTGCATTAATGACATCCAATGACTTCTTTCAATGACCCAACAACATTTTTTTTTCAAATGCCCCATCACACGCTCCCAACAGCATACAAATTAGTAAAGAGGGGAGCGATACCTCCACCTTTCACATTCCCAGAGAGAACAGCAGCAATCGGGAAACAATGTATGATCGAGTTCTCTCAGTCTCACAAACACAAATTTGAAATGCAAGTATGCCTTCCTTTACTTGCCACACATGCACAGATCAGTTTGAAACAACTGGACAATCACAGAGTCCGTGTCACCATGAGAGACGTTTAGAGGTTAGACAGAAACGAGACAAGGCATGGCAAAAACAAGGTTTACATGTGAAGGCCAGGATTTAGACTAAATTTTAGTACAGATATTTTCCTAAATTAATAAACAGTTTTGCAGTTGCATCTTTAAATGCGAAACATACAATAACAATTTAAAATGTATTATGTCATGCGTGTCAGTCAGCAAGAATTAACTTGTTTTTTCTTCGTCAGATTTAGCCAATAATGGGTGTCATTCATGAACAAGTAGAACAACCAATGTGTAAATTGTTCGGTTGCATTGAATGTTTTGTGAACATTGGCACATGGAATTTAAGGGGACATAGGTATGGTTCTATGATTGATAGCGCATGATTCACTGCAACTATTTATGTAAAAATGGTTTTACAAACATTTGTGTATTAAATTTGAAATGCAAATTTACGCAAGAATGGTTTAACAAATATTGACGCATTTGACAATGCAATAATTTAACAAAGAAATGGTTAAGGACATTATTAAATTCAATGTAACAATTTTCTTAAGAATGGTTTAATGCAAAAATGTACATTTATTTCATGATTGTTGGAGCATTCGATTTGTTGCACCAATTTACGCAAGAATAGTTAAGGAGATTTTAATTTAATGCGGCAGTTTACGCAAGAATGGTTTTACAAAAGTTAGTGCATTTGATTCAAGGAACAATTTTACTGTAAAAAGTGATCAGTTGACAACTTAAAAAGAGTGAGGAAACCCGTTGCCTTAAAATTATGAAGTAAATAAACCATGCATAATTGAAAAAAATAAGTTATGTGAAAAAATGTTCAATTACGCGTGAAGTTTATTTACTTGATCATTTTAAGGCAACAGGTTTCATCACTTTAAGTTAAGTCAACATAACAGTGTTATGTAAAAATGGTTTTACAAACGTTAACGCATTCAATTCAATCCAACAATTTACATAATGGTTTTAAAGTTAATGCATTTCGATTCATTACACCAATTTACATTAGAATGGTTTTTACAAATATTAGGGCATTTTATTCAATGGGACAATTCACGTAAGAATGGTTTTACGAATAATTTACACTTAAATGAAACTGAATGCCTTCCTAAAACCTTTCGAATAACAAGGATTCTAGGCAAAAATGTTGTAAATGTTGGACTCAAATGGAAACATGAGGAAAAAGCAGCATAAACTCTTCGCAAAGCCAACCCGAACAGAATCAACGTGATGCACTCTGCAATGACGTGACATTCTCTGACCAAGAAGAGAGATGCAGCTACATTCAACAACACTATTACTAATCCAAAGCAAATGACAAGCCAATCATAAAAAAGGATCAAATACAATGTGTTGAGTAATTCATGAAAATGAGAGGCAGCGCGTTGATTATAAAAGCCAACGTTATTACTAAGACAACCAAAGGCAAAAAGGAGAACATCAGTATATGTAGAGTGGTTATTACTACCAAAGAGGCCAGTTCTGAGAGAGTTACCCAAAATGGAAGATATATAACAAAATATCACTCCATTTGTCTGGATAACAATACAGTACATAACCAAAAGTACTAATTTACTGAAGAGGAAATGCACCAGACTCACAGAGTAGTGCAGAAAACAAATGTTGCTTATGCCGTACATCGGCCTGCTTCACTGTTTCCATCACATGGCAAAACAATTATTTTACCCTTCACCTAAGAGTCGGCCTCACCCTACTACGGGAGGCCGAATCTATGTTTCAATCGTCATGGAAGAAATGTAAAGAGAGAGTGCAGCTTGATTCTAAGGCAAAAGAGGTTTTTAAATGGTGCCCATGGGCACAGAGGATGTTTGAACAGTCTGTCCGTCAGGAAACACATCCTTCCTGCAGAGTGGTCCAATACCGATTCTGCGAAGTGGTCAATATGTGGACCAGTTGATGAAGTTTCTGCAGCATCCTGACTTATAAAGTGAACCAGTGAGCACAGGATCGAAATGTCAAACTTTGGAGAATATGAGAGAGACCACTAAATGGAACCACCATTACAGAAGAAAAGTCTGTGGTGCAGTAAAGGCATGATGTCCCGTGGATTCACTGGCCATGTGCATGTGGGCGAGTGGTCTGCAGGCAGTGCGGCATTGGCGCTAAGACTTGTGCCTCGGGGATCCACAAGAATGCTGGGAGCATGCTAAGAAGCAGTCTTTTTATTGGGCGGGTGCAGCCCAGCCTCGGTGCCAATGTTGACTGTGATGTTGGTGAAAAGAGGTTGATAATCCCGGGACACAATCTCATAATCCACCGTATTCATACCGTCATTTTTCCATGTGTGCCGGGTCTTAGCCAACATGTTAAACCTGCATGAGAACAAACATCTTGAACAGAGGAAGTACTAGGAGATGATTTCATCATTTTAAAGGGAAATGCGTTAAGGTGCAGTCACATACGCCCAAAGGAAACGTCAATTTCACAAAAACTCCCATATATCGCAAAAAAGTTTTTACTCTAGCATGAGGTGTTTTTTCAGGCAATTCGAAAAGGAATATTTTGTGAAACTGCAATGGAAACAGTTTTTGCGCATTTACAGGTCATCTAGCGTACGTCAAAGTCGATCATTCTTTAAAGATGATGCGGTATGTTTGGACAGAAGATGAGACTTTACTAAACTCATAAAAAACAAAAGTATCACAGGAATACTGGATTCTAAACAACAACAAAATGCCAAATTTATGTCTTTTATTTATAAAGACCGTGAAGCAGATAGGAGGGAGGTGTGGCCACTCCCAAGTATAAGGAGCTTTTCCAAAAAAGATTGCTCCATAATAGAAAGCTGCTTGGTTTGTGAGCTGTGTGTCATATCACACTATTAACGACAGACAACGAAGCTTTTTTGACTGTGAAATTTCGCTAATGTGACCGCACCTTTAGAATGTACTACGGAAAGATGTTAAAACACATCTTGTCAAAGTTTGGGCATTTATCAGATGCTTGTAAGGCGATTCTACCTTTTGGGATTCACTTCATTGCCTTTGTCATGCTTGTGTTTGATCATCTTATATCGGCCCACTTTTAGAGACGGACGACTGATCAGCATTCCTCCGAGTGAGACCCTGAGAAGATGAAGAATGTTAGATAGTGTGCAAAAAAAACAGAAGGAGACACTCAGGATTGAGTAACTGGTTCCCATTCAATTCATGAGTGTGAATGTAATTGAGTGGCCCACTCCCTCAGGAAGCCGTATTTGGAATTTGAATCAGAATGGCAGGAAGAGGAATTTACTGAATTTTATTTAAAGAAATTCAACACAGGTAAAGATTTCTATTCAAACAAATACTGTTCTTTTTAATCCTGACAAAATGTATCACAGGTTCCCACAAAATATTACGCAAATCAACATATTAGAATGATTTCTGAAGGATCATGTGACACTCAAGACTGATGCTGAAAATTTCACAGGAATAAATTACATTTTAAAATATGTTAAAATAGAAAACACTATTTCACTATTTTTACTGTATTTTGAACAAATAAACAGAATAAATATACCCTTGGTGAAGAGACTCGTTTCAAAAACAAATCTTAGTGACCCCAAATTTTGAAACAGTAACGTATATAAACTAAAATTCTATAAGTGGCATTTAAAACATATAAATCTTCAACTTTTTCCAAACTTTTTTCAAGCCACCATTCTAAGTCTGTCTTGACAGACGTTGCTGTTTCGAGATAAGAACTACCGTTATATGACTTTTAGGGCTGCACGATATTGGATCAAACGGACATTGCAATATTTAGTTTTTTTGCGATATATACTGCAATATAAAAAAAAATTCACCAGATGACTTAAATAGCTCTATTTGGAAAGAATTATTCTAGAATGACTGGGGTGATTTGAGTGCATCCACATAGAAAATATTAAACATATTACAAGCATAGATAAATACAATAGAGCAAAGATACATATGAAATAAACAGGGCTTTGTGTTTTTCAGGTAAGTCTAACAGTATTCGCTATTCAAGTAGAGAAACTTGTCAAATGTAAAATAACACTGCTTAAATTAAATATAATTAATAATGATAATATATGATATGATATAATTGTATAAATTAAATATAATTAATCTTTGTTAAAGCTACAAAAGTGATTTATTATTTTGACACAGTTGGCAACAGGAACATTAAGCTGCAGTCACTTTAAGAGCCAATGCACAGATCAAATATAAATGATACACATCCGTTTTCTTTCTCAATTACGTTCACTTAAGACAAAAGCAACAAGGATTTTTGCAGAGACGGGCATTTTGACATAATTTTGCTAATAATGTCTAAGTAATAAAACTAGAAAGAGAACTAAATTTGGTTTTTGCATGGCTCTGTGTGCACACAGAAAACAACAGCAAGAGTGTTCCGAATTGAGTTTTGCATCTTCTTGTGCTTGAATGCTTTAAACTCACTTGAATGTTTAAACTGACAGGATTTAAAAACAAGTGTACACGTGTAAAAACTTTCACTCTGTGATGGTTTAACTTTGCAATTAATCTGGAAATCACACGCGTTCCAAACCAAGGGGACTGGTCGGTACTGATCCTGGATCAACTACGATTCCTATAACTTGACATCGCACATCCTGCGATCGTGCAATGTGACTACCGTGGATGCGCACATTGTGTTGTCGATGCTGTAGCGTTATATCATGCAGCCCAAGTGAATTTTTGTATTAAAACTGATTTTAAAATGTATAGCATAACAATATTTGATCCTTTATGGCTGAGCTGGTGAGCCATGACTCTGGCTATAACTTTATAAAACATCAGAACACACAATCCATCCCTATAAAGGAGACAGTCACACACCCTCAGATGTTGACACTAGCTTTGAACTTGACAAAGCTAGCAAAAGACAGGTGGTTCATGGCCAGCTGCATCACAAGGACAGATCTCCTCCCACGCAAACCTCTCCATTAATGTAGACACACACATCAAAGCATCCGTGCACACACTCAACCCACCCCAGCAAATAAACACACTCGCTCACTCACCGGATGCCGATGTCGTCGTCCTCACCACCCCAGCCCCAGTAATTGTTTGGGAAACCGTTCATCTTGAGGTATTGATCAGGGGTCAGAGCCGACACTCCTCCAAAATACATCTTATATGGCAGTCTGAGTGGTAACAGTAAGGAGAAATGCATAAAAATACTATAAATGTATTTATTCAGTTTAGTACAGTGACGTATTGGTTCATGTGTTATGAGGGTTTATTCAACTATAGGCATTATTATTACAGGGGTTTTGCACATTTTTGAAAGTCACAGTAAAACTGTCTTTTATTATCATTTATTTTTGCTACTTTCAAAATATTCATTTTGTGTGGGAATCCAATGAAATATATTATTTATTCACTATCATTTAAATATTATCAAATTTGTAGCGAACATAAAATGGTAAAGAAGAGTATTCCACAAATTCTTATTTATTCCACAAATACATGTGTTGTAAATTGATCTGATAGTAAATCATATATACATAATCTATATGTGTAGGTGTTGAAGTAGAAAACAGGCAAATGAAAGTCAAATGAAATGCAGAGAAAGAGCAGCTGAACACTGACTTGTAGCCAAATTTGTCCATGGCAATGGCGGCGTGTTTTGGGTGAGCGTCGCAGGCGTAGGTGTTACGGTCGTCCTCGGGAATAAGGTCCACGTCATGAAAGAAGAGGCAGTCCCAATCCTCCTCCCTCATGGCCTCACGAAATCCCACGTTCATCAACTTTGCTCGGTTAAAGGTGTAATTACCAGCCTACACACACAGAGCGTCATTGTTATGACAATTTATAATGCTAAGATATACAGACTCAGCAGTGCATAGATTTATACTCATAAAAATGGACTGAATCTATAATGTGGTCAGGATTTTCAGAGACGAGATTAATGAGTATTACGGTCTAATCCTTGCCCTCTTGATAAGATGTGGTCAGAAACATATGAAAGGCGATGATTTTCTTCTGATAGTAATCCAATGTTTTATAGACTATAAACAGTATTTATTTTAAGTAGATTTGTTTGTAACAATGTAAAAGTCTTTTCTGTCACTTTTGATCAATTGAATGCATCCTTTCTGAATAATTTATTTTTTGTTTTTTAAGTCTGATTACAACAGCACAAAACATGTGACCAAATAAAAGTTCAACTCAACTAGCAACAAATTGGATTTCAATCTCATCGAGCCTCTCAGGTCAGGAGCAAAAACAATTCGATTCGAAACGTTTCATGCCGTACATCTATAATCCTACATAAAACTGTATTAACCTAGGAAACCCACAATAATAAATCCAGACAACGTAGCTCGGGGAAACAGCTCTGAATCTGGCACACTGTTGTATTAGGATCATTGTTGTTCACTAAAATGGCAAATCAGCAAGGGGAGAGCAAAAGATGACAAGGAATTGACCTATCAGAGTGAGTTGTACAGGTTTGCATCTACAGATCGGGATAAAGTGATTACAACAGGCTCTGGTAGGAAAGAGCAGGAGGCACGGTTGAGTTGTATTATAATAAAGCTGCATATCTGTTATGTAACCAAGCAACAAATACATTTTATACTTTAAACTGTGAGCACGGTCTAAAATGAACACTCGCCAAAGTGCCAAATGTAATAAATAAAATAAAAACTTGCTTTGGTAACCAAATATGTACGGCTTAAATGTAAGAAGGATAGTCTGACCTTTGTTGATGTGAGGGAATCAAAATAAAGATACAAATGGTCTACTACAGAAGAGATAAAAACATTTTTCAGAAGGGTTTGATTGACAATTTCTGGGAAATGTACCATTAGCCACTTAGCTATGAAGCCTGAAGGTTTTTAATTTCATTGCCATACTTCCTGAACAAAACTAACTTGCAATGTTTGCTTTCACTGAGAGACTATGTAATGCTGAAAGTGACACAATGACCAATGACACAATTTCTTGCTGGTCATGGAACTAGATTTTGAATGTTTATGAGCAGTACTTTTTGGGGGAGACATTTAAGTTTAAGCGATTTCTGCATCACTAAATAAAATGACAACAATAACAGACTGCAGGCGCACCTGGTGAATGATATAGATGCCATAGCTGAGCTGCTGTCGCTGTAGGAAGGGATGCAGATAGTAGAGGAGGAACTTGAGGTGGTGCTCCCTATTTCTGTGGGGAATGATTACTGCAGTGCGATGGCGTGCCTCACAGTTTGGTGGCCTGTAGCGCCCCCCACGGACAACAAGGGGATTCTTCCTCTCAATCTCGGCAAGCGTAAGCCCAGAGGGGAAAGTGACATGAATAGGTCCACCTGAACATAAGAAAAGAGTGTGAACAGGATGTATTGACTTTTTTGTAAAAAAAAAAAAAGGAAACACGCTATAGTATATTTATATACACTACCGTTCAAAAGTTTGGGGTCGGTACGATTTTAAATACTTTTAAAAGAATTCTCTTCTGCTAACCATGGCTGCGCTTATTTGATTAAAAATACAACAAAAATCAGTTATAGTATTAAATATTATTCCAGTGTAAATCAGCTGTTTTCTGTGTGAATATATAGTAAAGTGTAATTTATTCCTGTGATCAAAGCTGAATTTTCAGCGTCACCAGAGTCAGTGTCTTCAGTGTCAAATGATCCTTCACAAATCAGTATAATATGAGGATTTGATGATCAAGAAACGTTTATTATTATTATCAATGTTGAAACAGTTGTTGGTCTGTCAGTTGTACAGTTTTTTTGTTTTTTTTAGGATTCTTTGATGAATAGGAAGTTCAAAAGAACAGTATTTGTTTGAAAAGAACAGTATTTGTTTGAAATAGAATCTTTTGTAACATTATAAATGTCTTTACTGTCCTTGATAAATAAAAGTATTGATTTCTTTCCTCCAAAAAATAAAAATAAAATTCTCACTGACCCCAAACTTTTGAACGGTAGTGTATTTACATTATATTGTTTATACTGAGCCCAAAGTTAGAAGACTGTAAAAGTGGACTAAACCTAGATTTTCCATGCTATCCATTATGATCTATTTTTATTATTTTTAGGGTTTCCATCTCTTTTGACCATTACATTTTTGAATTCAGAAATTCTTAATTTTTTTATTTCTTTCTTTTTATTTAAAAAATATTATCTGTTATACCGGGAGGAAGCTCCCAGGCTATTTATTACAAATAACACGCTGATATATGCATTCACAATAGAGAGATCAGACAACTTGATAACACGCTACACTGAACTCACCAATCAGAGGAGACTGCTTCGGGCAGTAGGGCATGTCCTCTTTATTAACAGGAGGGCCTAAAAGGGAGAGGTTGGCATACACATCCGTGTGGTTGCGTGCACCGACTGCATGTCCCGTTGTAGAATCAGGCTTACGGAAAATTCGGAAAAAATACGACACCCTTTTCTGGTAGCCCTCTCTGGAGAGAAGAGCCATGACCACTAACTGGACGCCCAAGAACATGATCAGGTAACGCCATTTGGACTGCAGCGTGTACATGGTGACGGAACCGTACAGTGGAAGTACTGCACCACGTTTGAGAGTCAGATGAACAGTCTGAGTGAGTTTAGGTTTTGATAAGTTTGAGTAACAGAACTCTACGGTGGTCTCATTCCTCGTATCTCAGATACTTCAGAGTGTGATTCTTATGCACGCAAACAGAAACAAACAAATAAACAGATATGTCTTGGAAAGCTATAAGGCCTGGAGATGTAAACAAATCAATCATAAGGATTGGATCAGATATGTGGAGTAGAGGTAAACAACAGTTGGATGGAATACAAGGCACTTCAGATGTGGTGGATGAAATGGCTAAGGAGAGGTATCATTTCTTCTAACAGACGTTCAGACCTGCTGCAGGTTGAATTAGATTTGCTTTGCTCACTGGCAGTCTTTAGCCTATTAATGTGCAACTCCAAATGGAAGCTCCCAGTGGTCCTCTGGTGTTTTCATGATTCAATGATCTACTGAGCTCCCGTCAAGCTCCACCAAAGCCGTAGGAACCGGAAGGATGTGTCCACTTGCTGGAAGGAAATTGATTGTTTTGTTCCCAAAGGGTTCTCAACAACAGCAGCAGCCCTGTAGAAGTCTCATGGCCCCTACAAAGTAAAGCATGGGGGCCAGAGAGGTCCAGGGTACTGTTTTGTAGTGTGCTGGTGTAAGATAGTGAGTATGTATGTGTCTTGGATATGTAGGAGGGGGAAACAAAGAGGAGGGGGGAGGGATGATATCCAACACCCCCAGCTATTGTCTCATTCTGTCGCTGTGCAGGGGGAGGGTCCAACACCCCGTCCAACGCCAGCTGGTCCAATGACAGGAGTCAGTGTCTGAAAAACAAAGAGGAAGGCTTTACAATATGTTACAAAAATTTATTTGCCTCAATACTAATTCACTCATGCTTCTGGATGATCAGGGTACAAAACTTAGAGGGGTCTTGACATTTTTGTGAAAATGCAGTTTTAATGAATAGTGACACTATGAAATGTTTATTGCAATTGACATGCAAAGAAAACACACCACTGTCATAAGAATAGAAAGTATACACTACGCTTCAAAAGATACTTTGATTCAACAAGGATGCAGTCAATTTAATAAAAAGAAATCACAGTAAAGACATGAAACAACAGGGAAAAAAACATGGTTTCCAGTTTCCACATAAACACCAAAAATCAGCATATTAAGGCCAGGACACACCAAATCGGCGGTCAGCGAGTATCTGCCGGGCTAGTTTTTGTGGTATGTTCCACTTGTCTGCTATCGTCAGGCTCAGACTCATCTCATGTAAATAAAGTTATCAACATAACAGATATACAAAATGGTAAGCAAAAACTGCTTTGTTTACATTTTGAAAATCTGTGTATATCTCCAATATCCTCGTTTTGGTTTCTTTTGAATGACGAATATAGACTATTGTTGCCTGCTGATATAGACAGTTAATTCCTTACACGCAGGTGCAGAACAGACGTGCTAGTTTGCAGTCAGCTGTAGTCTGTGCTGTGTGTTCAAGTGCAGCTTTTTGGTCAAGACGCAGCCGACACCACCATCGGTTTTCTTTGCCGCTAGTTATTTAAAGTGGGCTTGGTGTGTCCCAGGCTTTGATTTCTGAAGGATCATGTGACAATAAAGACTGGTGTTTTTTGTTGCTGAAAATTCAGCTTTACCATCACAGAAAAAAAAACAAAATATTTAAAATATATTAAAATAGCAGCTATTTTAAGTTGTAGTAATATTTCACAATATTACTGTTTTTGACTGTATATTTGATCAAATAAATGCAGCCTTAAAGAACAAACTCTCAAAAGCAAATCTCACTGACCCAAAACTTTTCAACTCTAGTTTATATAGCGCCTAATATGAAAGTACTATTTATTCGTATTATTAATAAAACAGGAAAAATGGTTTCAAGGCTAGTACGAAATGTTTATAGTTAGTACATTTCCACCTCACACCTCATTGGCAGGTGTGGCAAAAAGTTAATTTTGGACCCTATGTACAACTGTTGGAGAGCAAACACTACCAGCTTGTGTCGCTCCTCCCTCCACTCCTCTAAAATGTGTTTAGATGAATAAAGCCTGCACTTGGTCATGGCTGACTTCCCAGACACAGGCCTTGTCCAAGGGGAAGGAGGCAAACACCCTCAGCAGGAAAGCAGGAACTCTGTAAGATCGGTCCCGAAAGCCACACACCCCTGCTGGGAATTCTGTCCCACCACTACCAGGATCACACAAAAAGAGACCTGGGGCTTCAAACAAGCTTAATTTAATCTTCCTGACACAGTCTGGTGGATCTGTGCTTACAAATCAATTACAGCTCATTAAAACCACCACTCACAGGCCGATAATCCTAATCTGGGGAATGGCGCAGAAGATGAGGCAACGATGTGAGGAGAAGAGTCGTCTCTTACTAATCTCATCTTCAGCTGTTCCTTCTCACACGTTTCGGTACGGCTTCGGTGCTTTCAGGAAGAATGAGAGATGGTTTATACATCTCTATGTGATGACGGAAGATCAAGGAGAGGAAGCGAAAGAGAGAAGCAATAAGGGGAAGGCTGGAAGAGATACTGTAAATGACATCATTCCACTATGGTAAATATAGTCAGAGAGCATGAGGTTTGACTCTGTGCTGCTGACTAACACACATTCTGCCTCAACCTCACCCCATTAGAATGGACATTAAAGTTATTTTCAACTCTACTTTAGGTCTATGAACTACATCAATGTTTATTACCACTAACAACCATTTCAACAACAAAAAAAGAAAAAAAAGAATATTTTTGATATTTAGACCATCAGCACAATAAACTCCCTTAAAGTCATCTTACTTCTAAATTCGTACCTTTTAAAAGAGAAATGACATCTTTGTAAATCTCTAAGAAATATGTCAGATTGGGGTCAACCCAAAACTAACTACAACATTGTCAAAAGGAGATTTTAATATGGGTTAATGAACACTAAAGTACACAAAACATGCTTAATTTCTAGATTAACATTACTAAAATAATAATAATAATTTTTAATTCAATAAGTGAGATTCATTATGTTGACTCAGTAACCGCTGAATCTTTCAGTGAAGGATTCATGATACTGATTCAAGTTTTATTGGCATCCTTTTCCATATATCCTTCACCATATTCGAGTCAATATGAATCATAAAATATGATTTCTTGGTACTAGATATTCTACTAAACAGGTTTCCAAATTCATTTTTAAAATGCATATTTTTGTCTGTAGTAATTGACCTATAAGCCAGATGTGGGACACACACATTCAATTGAAAATAAGTTAACCAGAATATTGCTTTAAACATCAGCGTATAACCTTCAAGTGATGCTCTGACACAAGATGACCATATTTGAACCCAACTCAAATCTCATAATCTTTGTAGCATTAATGATACCCCCCAAAAAAAAATTATAATCTAGAGGCACTCAAGAAAACCAAAAAGCTTTCTGGGAAGTGTAGTCAAGCTTAACAGGTCTATAGTTTCTGGACTGGAACAAAGTAACAGTCTTACTAATCCACATGGAGATGGGAAGAAAGATGGACAGATAACCAATATTAAAATGGAATAAAGAAGATGGTAAGAGAATATTGTGTGCTTTTCTTGCCTAAACATGTCGCACGGACCTCCTTCCATTCTGGATTCAAATGGACAGCAATGACATGACTAACTCCATCTTCACAAGCAAAGACACACAATCTTTTATCTTCTTCCTTTCACTCCCCTCACACAGCAGCGAGCCGTGCATAGTCAGGCACATTGTCCCATGCCCAAGGGCTTTAAAATTACACTACATAAACCACTAACAAACACAGTATAATGGGAAGATGAATGGGTAAACAAAGTGCATTAACATAAACATACTGAGAGATCATTCCTGCAGCGCAGCCCGTGGCGACTCGTGTGCCTTTGCTCAGCAGATCAGCATAGAGAAAAGTGAAGAACTGCATGAGGTTTATATGAGGCAATAGTCCGGCTTGACTGAATTATGAGATTGCATCTGCGCTAGCATCTAACAAGACTATTACCATCAGCCAATAACTGTGCGTAATTAACATAAGAGGACATTCTTTTTAATGTCTGTTCTAAAATCTAGCAACAGACTTGTCATTGGAAACTGCATGTTTTCTGTTTACATATATTGGCCCTCATTTATCAAAAGTGCGTACACCAAATTTCCAGCGTACACCTGGCGTACACCCAAAACCACGGTGACTTTGAGATTTATCAATATGGACGTTGGCGTACGGCACGCTCAAATCCTACGCCAGCTCAGGAGGTGGTGTACATGTACGCACGTTTTGAGTTAGTGCGGAAATGCGCAGAAAAACAATTCCTAACACCACAAAACGCACTGACAAACTAAAAGATATATTATGACTAAACAACAACAACATAGTAATTATAAACTTCAGTGTTTATTTTTGTGAAACATGGACTTCAATGTTTAATTTGTGTGACTTTACCAAAGCATTTGATTTGTAGCCATATGTATTCCTTCAGTTGCGAGCCTGTGCGCATTTACCCTGACGTTTCATGGTTAGGCCCGGCAGGTGCGCACGGACTGGGTTCGGTAATGAAAGGCTTTCAATGACCAAAAAATAATTCAGAAGACATTCTTCTTCTTTTAAATAATAATAATAATAATACAAATAATAATAACTACGTTCTTCTTCTAAATAACAATAAGCGTCATTAATAATAAAAATCATAATAATAAGAAGAATATTACAAATTGTCATGCAACATCACATCATCATCATCACTATTGTACACCCCAATACATGTGACGTGATTCGAAATTGAATGCTAATTGTTTCAAAAGACGTACTGTAAAATAATGCATTGTGATAGGTCATTTCGGCTCCACGTCGGAGAAGTTTCTCTTCTGTGCCGTCTTCCGTGTGTACATGGCGTAAAATGAGGGCGTGGGGGAAGCGGAGACTTGAATATATAGGGGCGTGTTATTCTAATGACGATCGTTTTCAGCCGCGGGATTTATCAAGGGCAGGTATTGCGTACACCTGGATTTTAAAGGTACGCACAGCTTCATAAATCAGGCGGTGAGAGGAGTGTAAGCATAATCTTACGCCAACATATACGCCCGTTTCTACGCAAGAATGATAAATGAGGGCCATTGTGAATTGTGCAATATAATTTCATATATATATATATATATATAGGGTAACCTTATATATTTCATATATTAGTTCATGTATAACCTTATTTTTATTTTAAACTAAATGTATATTATAAATATTTATATATTTGTGTAATTTTACTGTAGCAAATGAAATGCTGTATTATATTTTAATGAAATTAAATTTCACTGTATCAAATAAGATAAATGCATTGTCAGTCGTTGGCTAACCTGCTCTCTTGATCATATCAACAATACCTACATTATCAATCCTCCAGATTTTTATTATGTATTGATTTTTTACATATAAATATAAATAAAAAAATACAGGAAAATCCCCTTTTATGAGCATTAACAATTTGTTTAGAAACATTCCCTGATAATCACTAAGCATGATACTACAAGTACGAAAAGAGAGCAAGTATAAGCGAAAGGAAGAGTGAATAAAAGTTGAGAGGCTTCAAACCATAAAAATTCTTAGCCAAGTCAGCGAGACAAATGAAACGTTGGCTGGAGCTATACCGAGCATCTGGGTTCCATGTGTTAGATTATGAAAACGGTAAGAATAAAGGATTTTGAGAAGAGGGTTGGATTCCCAGGATCCTGCAGCCTGCTGTCAATCGAATCTTAAGAGAAAACAATCCCTCGTTCTCCTGCTTCATTGTCACACAAGGTCAACAGTCAGTC